TTGCAGACCAGGTAATGGAGGTGATATTGATTAGGGGATGAACAGATGCAGATGTTGAGTTAACTCACTGCTGAGATTAATAACAGTGTGAATGGTAATGATATTGGTGACATTGATAATGGACATGGCTCATGTCATGTAGGTTATGTGAGACTTATCTCGTCAAGCTTTACTGTTTAAGGAGGGAACCTGCTGGTTTGAAATCTAAAGGTGGGCACATTAAGAGCTTGTGACCACAGACTCCAAGCATGACTGAGAGACTGTAGAATGTGTGTCACTGAAAATTAAACTATGAAAACTACGCATCATCAAAATCTTGACAATGTAATACTCTATGAATGTTGTGTTCTTGGCATTCATTCTTATCTCTAGCCTGTGATAGGTTAAGAACACAACGTTGGGTCAACGTCTGAATGCTATCTGGGATATAGGTCTGAGTTTTTACTCAAATTTGAGAAAACTCTAATTTTCATGAATTAAATTGAAATTGATGTTGAACTCAAATTTAGTAAACAATTTCAGTTTGCTGTATAGGTTACAGAAGTTGTTATATTGTTTTTAAGTTTTGGGGATAGGGGCATGTGTTTTTGTTTTTTGGAGAAATCGGAGCCAGGGATTGTTGTCTTGAAATAATCCCCTGCCCCTCTCCCTGAATTGACTTCACGTATTTGCGACAGTCAAGATAAAGGCATGTTGCTACACCTCCCGTATTGCTTTGGTTTGAGTTCAAATTGTATCGTTAAAAACAGAATCACAGTGAGTCACGTGTAACAGTCTGCAGAGCAGGACAATGCTTGTTTGTTGGGTTGACTTTCAAATCATTGCAGGTTTCATGCAGTTAGATTTGAATTGTGATAAACTAGATTCCCCCGACCCACAAGTTTCAGCAGTTGGAGAGGCAGTTATGCCATGTATAGGATTTAGTGTTGAGTATGTGACTCATCTAGGGAAATATAGACTATAACTGCCACACAAGTGTGTCTTTATTCACAGACTGATGGCCTGAGGACTTGCAGATAGTTGTGAAAAGTTGAAGGGTCAGTTTGTGTAGATTTGGGGATATAGCCTGGGGTAAAGGGAGGTGTGAAGAAATGGGGGTGGTGTTCTGTTTTTATTGGGGAGGATAGCAAGGTCTGGGGGATTAGCGGTATGTGTGAATTGAAAAGTTTGAGTGGGTTTAATACATGTAGCCTTGATGGCTAGTAATAACAGACATGCTGGTAGTGACAGTACATGTTGAGAAAGGAGGGAAGGGGATGAGTGTTTTTGATGTAATTTCCATGTGGAAGTTGAAGGCTTGTATGTGTTTAATAGGGTTCGCAACAGACATTGGGGCGTGGGGGGAGGAGGATGGGGGAAGAAATGAGATTACGGGTAGTATAAGACTTGAGTGAGGTGGGAACAAAGTGGAAAAGGTAATTAGGACATGGTTGGAGGTGAACTAGACTTTAAGACTTTGCAGATCTTTACTGAGATATATTATTAAACATTTCTGTGTGGCTCGTTTCAAGCCCTCTGTTGTGAGGGGTCTGATGTAAGTGAGGCCTGCTGTAATCAGTGGGTAGCACTGCAACAGGGCAGTACTGATGTGGGCCTCTGAATGCCTATCTCAGAGGGGGGGGACCTGATGCATCCAGGGGAAGGGGATCGCAGGGTATTGGGGGGAAAAGTATTGTGAAGTGGAACATTTTATACTTCAGAGATTTGTTTTGCTCTCAAGGTTGAACATAAACTGAGAAAGCAATAGTTATTTTCATATGAGAATTGCCGAGCCATTGTCTACTGTGTGAAAGATAAATGTTGTATTTGATAATAATTATGATTCTGAAGTATAAATACCGCAGTGTTATCTTTAGATTTTCTTTTGCTTTCAATAATATTTTGCTTACCCTCATTCCTGTCGTAATCGGTTCTAGATAAGAAAAGTTTGTCTAAATATTTCCCCAGGGTGCCTTAAGTGGATATAATTGTTTACATACAGACTTATGTCTACCATAATCCAAGCCTAGTTGTGTTGACTTACAACAGGTAAACAAGTCAATGTGCATTGTTCTTGTACAGGCAGAGAGGCCACTCAAGGAATAAGGTGTGGGAGGTAAAAACTAATGGACTGATCCAAAATAGGGGTGACCAGGTAATAATGTCAGAGTGAGGGATTCCTATCACTGCAAGCATTGATTACATTCCTCTGCTGCACATGTTCACTGGAGCAGTTGCACCAACCTGAGAAGTCTGTCTTAGTCACTGTGATGTTCAGCCATCTTTGATCTGGGAGCTGTAGAAAGACTGGCAGCAGCTACAGATGGTCTGGCTACTCCTCACCCCAGTCCGGAAGGCAGCTGTCAGGTGGTCAGTCAGGCTTGTCTACAGCCCTGTCAGTGCTGGCCGACTGTAGCTGTGATAAGTCTAGTGGGAGACTGGGTTTCCAGCAGAAGTGAAGAGCTCCACCATAGAAAATCTGGCTGCTCAGGGTTTAGAGGGCCTACCATCTTTTACCATTGATTCTTCCATCAGACTGCATCATGATAATTGAAGAGAGGTATTTGTTTTCCATGGCAGACACTGTCCTCCACTGTGATGCTGTTGTGGAACCTGCATGTGAGATGTAGACCTGGATACACCTAGGATTAGATCTGTGTTCAGATGCCAGTGTTTTGCTGTGTTCTAGTAATGCTTTTCTCCATGGGGTGACCCTTGTTATTGGATATATTTGCTGTTCATTTTCCAATTCATATGTGTCGAAAATATGCTTGTTAGGTTACAGGGATTAGTACTAAGTTCCTATTGCCAGAGTGCCTGATCATGCATGCAACTTGTGTTAGTAGCAGACGACAAATTCATTGGACGTGTTACATGAAGTGATGCAATGGAATTACATCACGTGTGATTATGCCCTCACAGTGTAATCATGCATAATGTTGTATGATCACAGCATGCGCAGAAAAATGGATACTTTATCAATGCATGTATGAGAGCAGGTTTTAAATTCATGGAGGGATGCCTTGTCTCTCTGTCCATGAGAGCATGTGTCATTTGCAAGGACAGAGTCTGAAAACTAACGCAATGTTCAAAAGGTAAACAGAGATATTTTAGTCAAGGGGCATGACTTAATGTGATGTGTTGAGCAGGACTGCCTGAATCCTACAGCTGCCGTCTAATGATGTTGATAAGATGGATTTTCAGTGAAAAGAATCCAGGCAACAAGTCTCGTCTCATGTCATCTGCATGTTGTATTAGAAAGATGGATTTTCAGTGAAAAGAATCCAGGAAACAAGTCTCGTCTCATGTCATCTGCATGTTGTATTAGAAAGGTGGATTTATAGTAAAAAGTGTCTTGGAAAGTGTTTGAGACGTCTGCTTGTCATATCAGTAAAGTGGATTTGTAGATAAACATCTCAAGAGGAATTTGATGAATTCCACATCAAGACTTGGAATTTATGTTACTGTGCTGGAAACCTCCTTACCATGCCTTGATTCCATTAGCTATCTAAAAACCGATTCTGTCTGCAATGAGTGTATAAGGAGCAGTGTCAACTTGACCCAACCTTCATTGATTCGATTGACTCCCATTATCGATAACTTCTGAGAAATAATTAGCTACTGAAAGCCGTCATTGGAGACATGGCCAAGCAAACAATGTCTCTAGAAATGATTTGACCAAATGGGAAATCCTCTCGAATGAAGCTGAAAAGGTTGCAGTGCTTAAGAAATGTCATATTATCTTTTTCTTCTCGGAGGACAGCATCTGGGATTGAAATTTAGGATGTCTGAGTTCTACTTATAGTGTTCTTTGCACTGCAGATATGGATTTTAGCCACTGTAATTGAATGTGTTTGTTTTGTTTACTGTATATGATGGATGAGAATCTATGTATGGAGCGTTCTCTTGTATGCAACATAGAGAAATTGCCTTCACTCTTGGGAAATTAAATGTCAGGCTTGGAATCACAGGAAGATGTGACATTCTTTGAAATTCATTTACATAACATTCAAACAATCTACAGGTTTAACCATTTCTTTTGGGTTCAATTTTAATGTTTCAGAGACATGAAACAGATTGAGGTCATGAAAATATCATGATAAAAATATTCAGATTGACTGAAAATGTCATACCAGTCTGACCTAACTGAATGTTTAAATTTAACAGGGATGTGTAGGAACTCTCCAGAAATAATATGCAAATTGTCTCAGTTGACTGTAAGAGCTCTCTAATAAGAAGGTACGAATTTAACTTGACAAACTATAGGAAGGAAGTGCAAATATGTGCTCGGCATGAATGTGCTTACGCGACTGCATTTTGTCAAAGTTGTGTCATGCATTTTAGTCAGCCATGTTACAGGTACAGGGGAAGCTTGATTAAAATGACACAGTATTTAAGCATTGTTGCACAGGTGCTGAATGCTATGTTGTGACACATATGACCCACACTTCTGGAAATGTTGATGCACATGCCCGTCTGCACATTCTCCGAGGGCACTTCAGCAAATCCATTAGACTGCACATGTGCCTTATTCAACAGGATTTATGGGAAATAGTCTTATCTGATATTTGGTTGAAGTATGGACATAATTTACAAATAGAACCTAAATGGTAATCAATTTTTGGTTAGCTTTTATTGCAGCTAATGCTTGTAGAAGTCAGCAGCCATTACTCAGGAATATTTATTCATTCTAAACTTGCCCAGTCTCCATGAGTGTTTCTGGTTTCTTCAGATGTGTTTTCAAGGTAATATGATAGATAATTAGTCAGTGTTCACATATTATACGTCTCCACTTTTGATAGAAATAGTCAGACATGTCAGTTTATTTAAATATGCACTTCACATATGAGAATAAGTTTTGCGTATCATGGGAAGATAAAACTGTTCCCATCACAAGTGGAGTAGTGATTTTATTTCTGTCATCATGGTAGTAATTACTGTTAAAATTAGAGGTAAAATATGCTTATAGACTATTTGTATAAACATGAAGATATTTATTTTTCATTCTGTTTTGTTTCCAGTTTCTTGATCAGCTTCATGGTGGATGCTCGTGGCGGCGCCATGCGAGGATGTCGTCACTCTGGAGTACGGATAATTATTCCACCCCGCAAGGCCTCAATGCCAACCAGGGTAACTTGCCGTCTGCTCAAGAAGGAAAAGTTGATGCACCCTCCTTCGCTCAATGAAGGTGAAGGTCTCGCTGCCAGGATTCTTGAAATGGGCCCTGTTGCTACCAAATTCTTGGGGTAAGTGTTTCCTTGTCAAATTAATTTGAAGAAAACATACTGAGACCAAAATATGATTGTGTAAAGAATTCATATAATAGTTTTATAGAGTCTGAATTTGCAGTACAGATTGCTTTATGAATCTGTAAGGTATGAAACTGTGTTGATAACCATAGTTGAAGAATAGCAAAATTTAGTGTTTCTGTTTTTGTTTTACTTTTCTTGTTATCTCACACCATACTCAGTAATATGACAGCTTTAGCTGGCTGTAACAGATTGAATCAGGAGCAGTCAATATCATGACAGACATTATCAGCGTCACAGATTCTTTAGTATTTTCTGGGTGGCGATAAATAGCATAACATCCCCAGTGCTGTCTATCTAGCCTTTAGCATTCTGCCAAACAGTATCCCATCTTTGATCTCTGAAATTTTACAAACAAATGCTTCAAGGTAGTTGAATGTGCAAACAGAAATAACTTTTGAAAAAAAAATACTAATAATAATAAGCAAAATTTGTATAGCGCCCTATTTGGTTTAACATAAAACCACTCTAAGGCGCAAAGGTTACTGATATGAATTTTATCCCAGCCTGCATATCATATCCTCCAGACTGCAATAACATCACACCTACTCTTCCTATTTCTCTGATGTACACCCACTTACAGCTAGTGATAGCCAAACCAACTGGAGAGGTATTTTAGGTGGCTGTTCAAGAAAATAGCACACACACCTTGTACAGCTGAAGGAAGTTCCTTTCTAACACCCCTCTGTCCCTTCAAGTCAGGCAATATAGGTGAAGTCAGTGCTCAGACAAGTATACAGTAATGAGATATTTTTGTGTATAACCATTGAGGCGAGATAGGGTTTGGGTTGGGTTGTGAGTTATGTGAAGCTGTGGCAAAGAGCTATTGTTTACAAACATGAAAATATGTGTGGAGGTTGATGTGTGAATCATCTGAGACCTGCACCAGTATGTCCTTCATCAAACTGACAATTTATTGTCATGAATAAATGCAAAATTGATGATGCGGCATAATCTGAAACACTGTCCAAAGCTGTTTCGAGCCTATCTCACTTGCTCTTGCTCTCTCTCTCAGTGTCAGACCACTACCTTGGTGTAGTAAATAGAACATCAGGGTTCCAGACTAGTCATATAAAACATAGCGTTATGAGAAGGTACTTGTTACCCTGCCTGCAACTCTGGATAGAATAACTGGTTTGATCAGGACTCATTAAACAATGCCTGTGTAGAATAGCCACATTAAACTGCAACTTGGTTTATATCTGTGGGTTCGAACCATTTGACTGGTATTTGTCTGAACCAATCATATCCCCAATTGCGTAGAACGATGCGCATGCTGTTGATCACTGGATTGTCTGGTCCAGACCTGATTATTTTCAAACTGCCGCCATATAGTTGGAAAATTGCTGAGGGCGGCATTAAACAACAACAATCAATCGATCAATCAATCAATCATCTGGACCAGTACAGGCAATCATGTCAGTAGTGAGTGAGTATGGTTTTACGCTGCTTTTTAGCAATATTCCAACAATATCCCAGTGGACGACACCAGAAATGCATGTCACTATGTGTAAGGTCAGTAATGCTACATTAGGCATTAAACTCCATGTCACCTCACCTCTAATTGACATTGATGACAATGATAAAAGGATTATACTGACAAAATGTCTACATAGATCATCATCAGACGGATGATAAACCCACCCTCAAGGTGTACTACTCAGATTTCATAGGGATAGACAGATATGTCAGCCTATTTACATGTACCATAGACATATTAGGTGAACCACTTTTGTATTTCATGGGAGATAAAATATCACTATCACGTGAAGTAGTTTATCTCACTTCCTTATCAAACCAGCTTATCACAGACACAAAGTCTCTTGCAGTGAGCAAGTGTACCGTATCACATTGTTGCGTGGTCACAATGGCAAACATTTTTTATGTAGCCTATACATCATGGCATTAAACATTTTGAAGCCATGTTCTATTCCAAGCTTCAACCGTCATTTATGAGTGAATTATGGTCGTTGATGCTCACAAAATCCAGTTAGACCAGGAAAATGACAGTGATTGCTAAGAGTTTATTCAAATGTCAAAACTGATTCCATCTTTTGTGGAGACGTGTTGTGTAACGTTTGATAATGAGGCACCAAGACAAATTTCAGTTGCCATATGAAGTAGAGGAAGAGCATTACTTGTAACGAGCCTCATTGACCATGTCAGTGTTAATTATAGAAATAGGGTTTTCTTTGCAGTTTGTAATGAAAACTATTTCAGGCCTCATGAGACCTGTGAAGATCAGGGGTGGAATAGGCCTTCAGCAACCCATGCCACAAAAGGCGACTATGCTTGTCGTAAAAGGCGACTAACAGGATCGGGTGGTCAGGCTCGCTGACGTGGTTGACACGTCATCGGTTCCCAATTGCGCAGATCGATGCTCATGCTGTTGATCACCGGATTGTCTGGTCCAGACTCGATTATTTACAGACCGCCGCCATATAGCTGGAATATTGCTGAGTGCGGCGTAAAACTAAACTCACTCACTCAGGCCTCATGGAGCCTGGCAGACAGGCAGTTTATGTATAAAAGGAGTTTCACAGAATGTCGACCTTTGTCATCAGTTTTAGTATTTATACATATTCCAAGTTATCATTGACAAATATCTTCATGCCTCTGTACTACAAATATCTAAGCGGGTCATGGATGGCCTACTCATCTATGAGTAGTGGGTTTGAATCTGGTTGCCCGATTCTAGGTTTGCCTCCACCATACCCATGCCCATGGGTTTCACTGAGGTGATAAACAACTTTCCACCTTACTTAATCTGACACACTGAGATATTCGTGAAATACTCTCAAAGCAGCTTTAAACCCAAATCACTCACACATACATGCCTTTTGCCCACTAAGCAAGTATATGTATAGCTTTGTGACAAGACGTCAAAAGCTATTGTGCAGTAAGTTTCATTACCACATTCAAGATCATGTTCACTGAATAATAGCATTGTTTGAGCTGGTAGTTTACACAAGTTGTTAGAGAGGTCATCTGTAAAGTTTTCCTGTTGCCTGTTGTTCAAGTCGAGATATGACTGTGCATAGATCCGGTAAACAATGCAGTCAGGAGTATTACACGCAGTTTTGACTTGTTATGACCTAACCAAGGACATCTTAAATGGGTTTCAAAATGTGAGGTCATTGACAGATTAGTTTCAAAATGTTACAGAGCAGTTTGTTTGATAGGTAATGATAAAAAACAGTTGGAAACAATGGAAATATCCTAAAATTAAAAAGATGTCTGGTCAGTTACTAAAAGTACCTTGAATACCCAAATAAAACTATCAATCATGTTTTCATAAAGTGAGTAAATCATCTAAAAATTATCTAGCTCCCTGTTCACACATCTAGACCCAGTGTGTCAAAGTTTCACATTACGATTGTAGATGTAAAACATTTGACATTTGACAACTAAACTGCCATACATTTGACAACTGGTGTCCTAGATGTTGTTTTATGTCCAGAATAATATCCATTTCAGAAAATTATATTATGATTTAAACTGGTGACAGAACTTCCAGCCCCCATCCTGTATATTAATTGATGGGCCTCTAGACAACTTATGGGCTGTGTTGTTCCTTTTCAGAAAATTATTGGATGTTTTAGATTAGTGACATACCTCCCCCACACCAACCCCAGAATATTTATTGGTGGGTCTGCTTGCCAAAAATAGCTGTAATACTGCTGATGCAACATAAAGCAATAATTATTCATTCTGTCTAGAGAACTGAAGAGCATGAAAAATTAAGATAGCTACTCCTGGAAGTCTGATATGAAAGGGGCGGTGGTAAAGAGGTAAAAATATAGAAATACTCATTCCTGATAAGATGTCAGTTTCAGGCTGGTGGAATAAGACACAGATCTGTCATGCATTGGGTCAAGCATCTTGTGTATAGAGAAGTCAAGCCTCTGTGGCTCCCTGTTCATCATAATGGCCACATAACCTTGGTGTCACGACCTAGTCCTCCCTATTTCAGTCGCACATTGCAATGACAACATAAGCTGCCAATAGTGATGTATGGGATGATAGTCTAGGAGTTATCAGCCGGTATGGGGTTTGTGTGGACGGTATGATGGCAGGAGGTCTGGAGCAGGTTATGTCTCCAGGGTGTGAAGTATGGAGTTCGGAGATTGTAGATAACAGGGGCCTGTGACTTTGGTTGTGTCAGGTCTGGATTACTGATTTACCAACACGCGTAGCCTGGTGGTTAAAGCGTTCGCTCGTAACGCCAACATGGGTACAATGTGTGAAGCCCATTTCTGGTATCCCCAGCCATGATGCTGCTGGAGTATTGCTAAAAGCGGCGTAACACTATGCTCACTCATGAGTCGATGTCCTAGTATGGAGGAACAACATGGAGAGTTAACACAGAGACAAGGATAAAACAGATTCCATAAACAGCTATATTTTCCTCATAAATCCAGCTACATATTACTGGCATCATCAAAATGTCAATACGACATGAATCATATAAAAATTAAGGATACATGGGACAGGACTCAGATTAAACTTTCTGCAATTGTCAAAAATTATAACAATATTACTGATGGGACAGTTGTGTTGTTATAATTTTGACAATTGCAGAAAGTTTAATCTGAGTCCCGTCCCATGTATCCGTAATGTTTTATGATTCATGTTGTATTGACATTTTGATGATGCCAGTGACATATAAACATAGGAAAAACATGCAATGTTTAATGTCGTCTTGTTTTACAGTTATTGATTATTTGGAGAGCTTGTGTGGTTAAGGAAACTAAATATTTCATACAGTGATTTACAGTACAGCTTCTAAACTGAAAGTGTGAATTTTTCGTTTTAATCTCTGTTAATCTTGTTATTATTTGTTTGCACAATGAGGGCAGTAGGTAGCCTAGTGGTTAAAGTGTTCATTTTACATGCCGAAGGCAGAGTTGAGGTTCATTTCCCACATGGGTAAAATGTGTTTGGTCCATTTTGGTGTTAATACCATGAATGTGCTGAAACGTTGCAAGGGGCAAACATGTTAGAAACTTAAATACTCCTTAAACCTCAAATAATGAATTGTAACCAGTTACTTTAATGCAGTTTAAACAACACAGTTTTGTTTTTGAGTGTGACAAATCCAGTCTTGTACATTTACCATCTATTTTGTTGACTTCTGCTCAATGTTTAACCGAAAGAATACGGTAACTTACTCTGTGATAGGGCCATTGACATGTAGTCTGTTGCACTTCCTGTAAAAAAAATGAAATCAAAAGCTGATAATGTAAAATATACAAATATCCCTTCCTACTAATTCCTCAGGTCAGCTCCTAATTGGTGTTGTAGATAATAATCTGCTTAATGTCTCAAAATAAGTACAAACAGCAGCCATTTCTTGAGTTGTGAATGTAAATGATACTACAATAGACCGAGGGTGGTATTTTCAGATAAACACTACACTTTGTGGGCCTGACCTTCAGACAGGTCACACCAACCAGGAGTTAATACACTGTTAAACTGACACCAGTTCTCCCATTTTATGTATCCGTCTGACTTTGATTTATGGAAATGATATTCTGACATTTGATTAGCCTCAGATTTGTTTGAAAAGGGTTTGTTCAGGGATGTTTTACTGCTTAGCAACAGGGACCACTGGTAGGGCAGTGATCTAAGGTGTCATAATTAGCCGTGAAGAGTTGTATCCCCTGGACTTAGTAGAAACTTATAGGTTCAAATCCTGGTTGTCCCTGATTAGGGTAGCCTAGTGGTTAAGGCGTTCGCTTGTCACGCTGAAGACCCAGGTTCCATTCCCCACATGGGTACATTTTGTGAAGTCCATTTCTGGTGTTCCCCGCTGTGATATTGCTGGAATTTGGCTAAAAGCGGCGTAAAACTAAACTCACTCACTCTCCCTGATTAACTTTCTAGGTTTGCCGTGCTTGTTGATGTCACACCAGTGGTAAATGTTTGCCACCTGCATCATCTCAACCTTTCTTGCACTTACTCAAAATTCAATATTGTAACATACTGTACCAGTACATATCGTTTATTCTATATATATTTAGGAAACGTGTGTAATGATTGTAATACAAGTAAGCGTTATGGTGACAGATGTGGTCAGCTTTTCTTTGCAATAACTGCGGAATGTTGCTTTCTGAAATGTATTAAGCGCACATTTTACATCAAACTTTCATTAGGATTGTGAAAAATAGTGGTCTTGTTATTAAATGTTAGCAATTCACAGCATGAGAAACAAAGACACTGAATCAGTGGAGGAGGTTCATAGTCCTGCCGAACATTCTTCCTAATTTGTAGATCCAGCTGGTCATGGATACGGGGCACATGTTTATTGCCCAGAGGTGTAATATATAATGCTCCAAGACTCTCAGTATTTCCAAAGGTGCTTCGATGCCATAGAAACACAAACTTGCTTGCACAGTATTTGTCAGATACTTCTTTATCATTTTTGGCTATTCTGATAATGGCACTGAAGCTGAAAGAGTTCACATAAATACTTAAAATAGTTCTTTTAACCAAATTCCATCAAAAGGGTGTGTATACTGTGTAGAGTAAGGACTTAGGAATGCGAGGAATATGGATAGCAGAGATTATATTGAAGAAGTCTACATGTTTAATGCCGTCTGAAGGTGATATGAGTCTATCAGCTATCATATGTCAAAATACAGTTATTTCAATGGGGGATGTGAACCAGTCATATTTTGTGCATTCACCTGCAAAGATTCCAGGTTGAGATAATGGTATGATGGTTGTTGTTTGGCCGAGGTGAGCATTTGTGTGGAGGGTGTAACAGGACACTCATGGAGGAAGCCTGTACCTGGGAACTATCCTCAGACCAGACTGGGAGGGACTGGACTCTTTGATCTATGTCTGCTGATTATTGTCTGGGGTATCCTAGCAACAGGCTATTTCTGAGGTTGTGGGCATTGTGGATACTACACCTGAACCCACCTGGAAGATCCCTGACATTATCACAGTGTTTATATCTTTTAGTTGTATGTAAGTAGGCACCAGGTAGATATGGAGTTATACGCCCAAACCCTACTGGCAGAAACATGAAATTATCAGTGTTTATATCTTTACTTGTATGTAAGTAGGCACCAGGTAGATATGGAGTTCTACACCCAAACCTGGCCTTGCACCAAGGCTGTACTGAATGCTAATCCCATGGATGTATAGTAATTCTATCCTTTAAAGAGGCAGGTCAGATAAGCAGACAGTACATTTAAGGATGCCACTTGGTTATTTATATTTGTTTAGAATTTTCATTTACACAATTCATCATTACTTTAGAGTCTTGTGCAAGTCTAACCCAAACACTACTGTCAGAAATCTGAAGTTTTAGCAGTGTTTATACCTTAATCTGCAAAGTTGTGTTTTACGTTGCATGTGACCTTTAAGTTGGCACCAGATACACATGGTTGAGGTATTCATGACATACATGCTATTACAAAGGCAGATATTATCCAACTAGTCATTTCTGTGGGTTGTGTGCCATCAGGTTGATACAGAGAGTTTTCACCAAAACTAAACCTAGGTAGACACATTCCAGTTCATCCCAGACTTCCATGCACCACTTTGAACCTAGTCTCTAAGCAGGTGCTCTGGACTAGAGCTGAACTAAATTAACATCACTTGACCAGACATTCAGTAGTGGTAGCAAGTCAATCTGATTCTGGGATCTGTCAAATCACATGGCAGGTGTTGATGTAACCAGACACATGTATTACCATCAAAATCCCATTTTACATTCAATTAACATGAAGTTTCGAATTTATCAACTTCATTGAAGGCTACAGCATTACAATGTGTCTTTTCACATGAAATCACACTTTGTTTATTGGTTCTTTATTGCTGTACAAATGGGTTCAGTATTGTGATCATATCATTGAAAACACAATTTCTCTTGTGATAATCTGGCTGTTTGAAGCTAATCCGGAAAGGTTTTTTGCAACAATTTGTGACTATAAATGAAGTCTAGGTTCACCACTCCATATAAGGAAATACATGGATGTTTAAACATGTTACTCATGAGGTAGTTATTATTTCAGACCAATCATCATCGAGGTTCCCCACTTTGCATCACTCCGAGGCAAGGAGCGTGAGGTTGTGATCATGAGGAGTGACAATGGCAAGAACTGGTATGAACACCCCATGGTGGCCACGGAAGAAGCAGTGAATGATGCCCTTGGCGGCAGTCTGGAAGGTGCTGAAGGCGTGACGCCCACACCGTCACAGTCTGGCTCGGTGTCTAGTTTGTGGAGTGAGCATGTCCTTGGTTCTTTTGCACGCACGTACCACTGTCACATTTGCAGACTGACTCTTTCATAGAGTACTACAGGGATATACTTCTTTAACACCCTTGTAGGGTATAAGGTAGTCTTAGTCCCTTAAAATACATACTATGTAAAGAGTATATAGAATTCAATTGGGATATACTTCTTTAACACCTTTGTAGTGTTAAAGGTTGTCTTAGTCTAAAAATATTATATAGAGAGAGTGTATATAGAATACAAGTAAGATATACTTCTTTAGCACTCTTAAAGACAGGCTGATGCTTTGTCTATCAAAATATATGTTTTGATAGAAACAAACTGAAAGAGAGAACACGTAAAGGGAGATAATTCTGAACCTGTGGAAAATCTAGACTTACGCCTACAGCATTAAAGTACAGGGAGGTGAAGATATGTGGTTCAGGGAAACCGACTAGGTAGAAGGGGAAAGTTTGCTGTTGCTTGCATTGAGACGTCAAAAATAAATGGATTTTGCTTGCAGCTTGACAAGCTGACTATGTAGGATTGAAAAATATGTAAATATAGTATAAACAATTTTCTATACAGTTCTACAGGTTATTGATAATTAGAGTCTGTCTGCATCTGCATAATGGTGATTGATATTATAGTACATGTGACTCCATTTACATGTTCAAAATTGTTGTTTGGAAGTCCTGTCACAAGATTTTCAAATCAAGAAGTCGGGATGATATATTTAAAAATAATAATAATTGTTTTTGTGTATATTGAGAAGTTACAGAAAGAATCAGTTGAAAGGTATCAACAATGGCACATCTGTTTTTGTACATTACATTTATATTTTCTCTGTGTCCTCTGAGTGTCTTATTTTTATGTAGAACTTTCATTGTCAGTATGATAATGCCTCTAAGGTGTCGTTGGACAATGGAGGTGTCTACTCTTTAAACTATACTACTCAAAAGAAGTTAGAGAAGACCAAATTCTTTGAGTGAGTGAGTGAGTGAGTGAGTTTGGTTTTACGCCGCTTTTAGCAATATTCCAGCAATATCACGGCGGGGGACACCAGAAATGGGCTTAACACATTGTACCCATGTGGGGAATCGAACCTGGGTCTTCGGCGTGACGAGCTAACGCCTTAACGACTAGCCTACCCCACCACCCCCCCAATTCTTTGACATTATGGTACCTAGTCTGCCATGATGTGGGTGCGTGCATGTGTGTGTGTGTGTGCGTGTGTGCGTGTGTGCAGTCATATGAGAAAAATTAATTTTCTTAAACTTCTTTTGACTAGTATATCTATAAATATGTTCATTTATCTGTATATCTTGTAATTTGTTGTAATTTCTGTATTGGCACAACCTTTCTATACTTTGTCTTGTTTAATGTAAGTACTTGCTACTGATGTGGTGTAGTGATGTAGAAGATGTTAGTGGTATGTAGCTTTGAATATTCCTGTCGTGCCCAATCAATACGAACCCTGTAGACAATGCTGTGTGTTGGAATTGGATATTACAAACTTGTATAGGCCTGAATAAGCATGGAAAATATTTCCCACTCTTAGCTATGAACTCGGTTTGCCAACATGCACTTGCATGTCTGAGAATGTGGTGAAATATCCCATCAACTATTGCACACAGTCATGTTTGATTCCATCTGAGGGGCATAAGTCACAAACTATCATACATAGTTTTCTGTGGTGCATGAGATCAGGCCTCTGTCATAAATGGCATATCTAAAAGCATTATAACCCAATCAGACCATTTCTTTGAAACAGTAAATATCAAACTATATTTTATCTACCAATCAGTAGATTTAGAAAAGTGGAGTAAGTAAGTGAGTTTATTCTAATGCCGCTTATAGCAATATTCCAGCAATATCATGGCGGGGGACACCAGAAATGAGCTTCATGCATTATACCCATGTGGTGAATTGAACCCAGGTCTTTGGCGTGACGAGCGAACACTTTAACCACTGGACTACCCCACCGGTCCATAAATGTGGAATATATATTCAATTTTCAAATGCACTTCTGCTGTGAATTTGGGCACATCATTATAACCTCTTTGGTGAGGGAAGTAATATGTTTACTTTTTCCAAACATTTTTATTCTGCTCCTTGCTGCGAAAGTGCATGGTTTCAGCAACATGTAGCCATGTTGTCCCCTGTAAACCGTACAGCTATTGTTGTTGTTCGCTGCCGTGTATTCCAGCCAGTCAGTGGTAGTCTTCCCTCTCTTAACTGGCAGGCAATGATTTCAACAAGTTTTCATTTGTAATTTTGCAAAAATATTCTGTTAATTAAATAAACATTAAAGGAGTGATAGTAGTCTGTACATAGTTAATGAATTACTTCGTGTTAGATTTGTATAATTGTGAAGATTGTAATACGAAACTGATTTTTCTATTAAACTCACTGAATGATTAGCAACATGACATTTAGAATCTTGAAGTAAGAATTTTGTTGATTTTATCCCAGTGATGTTCATCAAGTATAGTGGAGATTCCAAGAGTTACTGATGTCTAATTTCAAGGATATGTAATACACACTGTATCGGCTCAACCTTTGAAAAATGTAATGGCTGTCGTTGTAGAACTTGACCAAGAGGAAGAACTCACAGCCAAGAGAATCACCCGTATCCTGACAACCGATTTCCCACAATACTTTGCACTGGTGACCAAAGTGCGCCAGGAGAACAAACAGATTGGTGAAGAAGGGGGCGTAATCAGCTCAACTGTCGTACCCCAGGTGCAAGCTGTCTTCCCCGAGGGGGCTCTCACAAAGACCATCCGCGTTGGCCTGCAGGTAGGTTCTCGCACAGGAAGAGAGTAGGTCTGGTGACGACTTTCGGCAACCTCAAGGATGCTCATTGAGGTCACTTGGGAGGGTATGGGATCAAACAGGACAGGATGATTACTTCAGTTGCTTTTATTTATTTGGGTCCTTGAAAAGTACTTGACATTAATTAAAAGAAAATTTGTTCTTTAAAAATGTTGGAATTCAGTTAAAATACCCTTGAGTTCCTTCAAAACCTGTTATGTCTACTACAAGGGAAGTATTTAGTTGGGGCAGCTAGTTTGAAGTTTTTATAATGAAACAATTCATGCTTTTCAAATTTTACCTATTGGGAGTGTCGGACACTATATTTCATCAAGTTCATCAAAACTTTAATTGAGAGGAGAACATATGTGGTATTAATAGTGAAGATTTTCATTCATTTAGACTTGAAATGTGGAAATTGTAATTAAAGTTCAGGAGTTTTGTTTGAATCATGGATACTGAATCGTTCAGCAGGAATGTTAAAATTGGAAGAATTCTTCCAGTACCCTTGGAATATTTCTGCTATGCACTTAGTACTGCCAAATGGGCTCAGTGTAGTTATTCCCAGTATAAAGATGAGTATAATGTACATTAAACTGAGTAAACTAACAGGACGACTTGAAGTTAGATGAACTCTAAGAAATACTGACATGAATGGTGATGCTATAGGATCATGGTAGAAATGTGTAACATCAGTGTTTTCAGTTTCTGCTGCCCCTTTCTGTATCTTATTCTTATTTCTTAAGTCATTTAAAGTCAAACACATCTGCCAACAGACACGTCAAGGATCATCCTGATCAAACAGACTGATCTCCATGTTTTCTTTTCATTATGTGATTCAGTTGATTATGTCTTGTATTCAAGTTATGGACTTCATGACTGACGTAAGCTTTCACAGTAGAACTGCTCAGTGAAGCCGAGAAATAATCGTGTGGAATTTTTATTTTTTTGTTTTTAGCCTACCGGGCGTTACGCTGCAAGGCCAGTAAAGTTTGAAGATCTTTGAGATGACGGGAAATTTTTATTTATTTTTCTATGAATATATTTTTAGTTTATTTTGGACTATGCTTTCTGTTGTCCCCTTAGCCAGTGTAGCGGAGATTGTCAGTTCTTAGCATGAAACACGAAACCAAGTCGGTCGTCCATTCAAACCCTGTCGTTTAGTTTCCTGGACGTAATGTTATGTTGGATCTTGTGGAACTGGACATTTATTTTGCCGTGACACTCGTTTTTCTGTGGTTTCCTGTCGCTAGGCACAACCCATTGCACCTGAACTCGTTGCTAAGCAACTTGGCAACGTGTGGCAGTCAGCCCCATCGTAACGGTTGAACCCAGGCGCCGAAAATTCCACAAACCGATCACATTGACCATTCCGGTACCGAAGGCTTCTCAGAAGGGAATGATCAACCAATATGGGGGAGATCGGCCGACTCTCCGACTTCTCTACAGTATTTCTGGTAAGGCGAGAAACAGTGTCAGCGGTTGTCATGTTTGTTTATTTCACGTGTCCTGTATCAGTTCCATGTTGTGTGGTCAGTGTGTCAAAATACTTGATGGAGGAACGCAGATAACAAATAAGACTCATTTCATTTTATAAATATTTCATCTTTTTGGGTTCTGAAATGGAAATTTGAATTTCATTACTTGTAAACCGATTCCACAGAAACGTCCAGTCAAACAGTTGTAGCTTGTATGTTTTTTGTTTAAACTTTTTTTCAAATAAATATTCATTTCGCATTTAAATATTTGCAAACTCATCAAGTATGTTGTGCATTGTCATAGACTGTTTTGAGGAATGATAAATATATTCTGTAATTGTGTTGTAATCATACCAAAACATGATGACTTGATATTTACGGATAGAAAAAATAAATAAAATAGGAATTAATCTTGCAAAACAATTCAACTGAATAGGGCATGCAAAGCACGCTTCATTGTAATGGATTTTATTCCACAATTTAATTGTAATTATTTTGACTATAAGAAAGTGCTGCATTAGCTGAGGCTGTCACTGTTATTTTATATATTTTAAATTGCTTAGAAATTTTACATTTGTTTTTTAACACAGTGATAGGCACATTGTGATTTTGTATGTCGTGTTGTTCTGGTGCTTGTGATTTGTATGTTTGTATGTGTACATTTAGAGATTGTATTAATGATGTATGTGTTGATTTTTGTACAGCATGAACCAGGATTATAGCATATTTTCCTGATTGTCATCAGCTACCATATTCCAATCCGTGGCCTTTGGTCACAGAAACCACATGTCCTGTAATATTTCATTACAAAATCTATAATTTCAAATTATGACAAAGTCATTAACACAGAAAATCTTGGGCACCCATCATTGTCATAAAAGTCCACTTAATTCAGTGGTCACAATGGCTGCTGTCCATTCTGGTATGGATGACAATCAGGGATGACCACATCTTTAGCCGTGGCCCGTCCATGGTAACCATGGTAACCTGATATTAAGGATGACAAGAATGGCAACTAGGTTCTCAAATAGCTGCAGTATGTTGACATAGTTTTGAATGGGTGACCCTAGTAAGGGAACTTAAAGTGTACAGAGTTGTGTCCCTTGATTGTGCCAGGAACTTGGGCTTGAATCCTTTGTTTGCCCTGTTTATGATCAGTATCCTGCTGATTCTGTATACCATAGAATCCTGATGATGCACTGGTGCTAACACTATCAGTGGCTAGTTCCAGTTCCTGACTTGATTATACTGTGCGACACTGTGGCTGAGATACAGCTGAAAGTGACACAGCCATCAGCCAACAAATCACCACGTTATAGTTGCTTCCAATCTAATAATATATCAAATACATACCAATTACAAACATTTGGTGTATAAAAACTCGTACATAGATGTACCCATTCTTCCTCTTGTGATAGTGAACTTCCAACCCAATACAAGATGTAGTCATGTCTACACGCTGCGATATATGTTCTTGCTGTGTAAATGCCCAGATAGTTGACCTTGACCTTTGCCATTTAATGTATTGCTCTTTCTACTTTGTCTTTGCCGCAATTAGGCAACAACTCTCACAACAGCCGAGGTAACTGTCCTGCCTGCCAGCCACTGCTCTTAGCTTGTCTGTCCGTCCGTCCGTCCGTCCGTGCATGCACATCCTTGGTTCCCTCCTGTTCATTCCTGCTCTGTCTTCACATTCTGTTTCATTGCTATTCAATGTAGAAAAATATTCTGAAAATAAGAATTCAGGTGTTGGAATTAAGATCATAGTTCATAGTTCATAGATGATGTTTGTTAGGATTAAATATAAAAAGAAATATTGCATTATACAAATGGTCTGTCTGGTTTTATGTACTGTACACATATATATATATATATATATATAATTTTCTTATAAATTCCTACATTTTTGGGATTAACTTGGTTTTTGGTTGAGGGTTTTAGATAAGAGAAATATCTTTCCCTCAAAATCTCTAAGCATCTAAACAGAACAGGAAAACCATTGTTAATCGCCATGACGATGCATACAATGACCATGCTTGTTTGAATGATGCTGACGACATCCACAGCTGTTCATTGCGACCCCTCCATGTGTGGCTGTATTGGCGTCAGATCCTCCTAACCTCAGAATGCTTGGCAACAGTTTAAATACCTACTTCCCTGCCTGTGTTCATTTGCTGGATCCTCACAAGCGATTACAGGATCCACAGAGGATCTCCAGAACTTCAATATCTCAAACATCATCAAATGTTGTACAAAATTCTGTACAACCTTTTCTTAATATTTGGAATATAACTGTAATAGATATTTGAATACTTGTTTTTTGAGATTTATCACTAACATAATCCTTCTCCTCCCTACCCTTAGGAACATTTCTTGGATATAATTGATCCATTGTGAAAACCAGTGTGTGAAATAATATTATGCCAGCTTTCGAACCCTGTTGATTTTTGTAAGTTTGGTTGATTAATTATTACCGAAAGAAACAATTTCAATTAAATAGAAAACATCTGGGTGTGTCAGCCATTATGAAATCCAGGGTGTGAAAGAAGTTCATGCCATTGTATAAAAAATGTTGATTTTCTGATTTTGGATGATTAATTGATAATACATTTATACCTGAACTACACAGAACAAAAAGAAAATCAATGTGTAATCAGCTCTTTAGCATGCCCTTAAGTGTAATCATTACAGAAAGACAAATTTTCAGTGAAATTTTATTCTTCCTGCATGGGAACCACAGTGAAAGATGTTTCGATTACTTCGTTATTTTGCATGTAGATTGTCCAGATCGAATCTGAAATATTTTCAGGGTTTGTGAAATTATTCAAAACAAGATTCTTACTCAGCAAAAGTGATATGATATATTACTTGAAGTTAAGAACACACCTTTTAATCAGGGCTTTAGTCATATGATAAAATCAGGTGTTCCTTAACGTTTTTTGAGTAATATAATATGATTGAATGTTGTCATGAGTAGATAGTTCACGCCTGGACCCAACACACGTCTTTGTAGCTTAGACTGGCAGTGGTAACCTATTTTTGCACTAAATTTGATGGATATGGAATTCATTTTGGGATGGTTCGGTTGTATTTCAGACACTAATATGTCAGTGTTTGTTAATATGAATTAGTACCAATTGGCTGAGTTAGATGAATGTCGTCATGATGCTTCCGTGATGCCTAGACTGTGTTTAGTTGGACACCAGTGCGTCGGCGATGTTGCAAACATCAGTCTGAATTCATGATGGTGTCAAAGTGGTGTTCACGTTCGGTGGTAGGCTTCAGTAGGCGAGCTTCAGCCAGTGTTGTCACCATGTGGTTGAGAGATCAGATCCCATATTGGGATTCGCTTCTAACTTGGTAAATTGCATGGAATCCTGAACCATGCATTAATCTAAAACAGAATTAAGAAATAAACTGTCAAAACATGTGTCATGTATTTCATATGAGTGTCTTGTTTTGGTATTAAAGTGTCGACCATAAACAAAGGCTTTAATTTCTGTCACTCGGCAAAATAACATTGTCTTGTTATTCATGTTGTAAATAGTTCTGTCTCTACGTGAGTGGAGGGTAGCCTACTGGTTACAGCACTCACTTGCCACACCGAAGGCCTGGGTTTGATTCCCCACATGGGTACAATGTGCAGAGCCTGTAAGTGGTGTCTCCAGCTCTGTTGTTGCTGGAATGTTGTTGACAGCAGCATTAACAACATTCTGTCTCTCACTTTACAACCAAACCCATTGAGCATGACATGAACGAGCATTGAGCTGGGTAAGTTGTGGGAGAATCCAGACGTTAGTTGTGCTTACTGAGTTATTCTTCATCTTAACTCTAATTGCAGAGGTAAGACATTAAAAATGTTGATCTCACGCTTTGCTTGCGTGTCTGACAGATGTGACAATATCTGACTGATGACGTTATGATGACTTCCAGGTGAGAAGGAACCGGCAGTATGGGAAGACATCACTGACGCAAAGCCTATGTCGCTTGTCAATGACTGTGTGTCATTCACTACAACTGTGTCTGCAAGGTACGGAGATCTCCTTTCATACTTTGTCGTGGTAGACTGTAGTAGCAGTAAAAAGATTCTTCATATTTTGAGTGGATAAAGACCCTGAGGTCTTCAATGTCTTTAGCAGAGTTGCATCCCTTAGTTGTGGAAGGAACTACTGCTCATGGATTTAAATCCTTGGTTTGATCTTTTTCTGATAATTTTTCCCAAGTTTACTGTTTTGGACAATAGCAGTTAATGCATTCGCAAAAATCTTCAGAAAGATTTGATTCAAACTTGCTAGCACTGCCTATTGGCTCAGAGCACTTCCCTGGCCAGCTTCTGATCTCTCTATGTTCTGCAGGTTCTGGTTGATCGACTGCCAGAACATCCAAGAGGCTACCCAGATGGCAACTGCTCTGTACAAGGAGTCCATCATCATCCCCTACATGGCCAAGTTCGTCATCTTCGCCAAGCGGGACTCCCAGGAAGAGGGCAAGCTGCGCATGTTCTGTATGACGGACGACAAGGTGGACAAGACGCTGGAGAAACAGGAGAAGTTTGCTGAGGTTGCTAGAAGCAGGGACATTGAGGTCAGTTGCAGTAGTTTCATTACTGTATGATGTGCAATATTGTTTAATCATTTCTGAAGATAAATTAGGTCAATGAGTTCTGAATATTTCTAGTTGTTAATGTATAAAGTTGTTTGTTTGATCGTCATAAAGGTGGAATTTTAGTAGTTTCATGTCTTATTTGAAGGGGAAGTTGCCATCATCCCTCATTTTGAAAATTTAATGATAAATCATTTTAAGAGAACAACAATTCACATTGTCCACTACATAAATGGGTACTTTTATCATTACTGTAAAGCATTTAGTATGCTGATTATATTTATTTCTCTGATTCAGGAATATGTAAATTGTTTTCCGTGAAACATTACCACTTGCCATTGGGTTGTCGTCTGTATGTAATCCTTCTGTTTGTTGTGGCAGGTTCTGGAAGGAAGGCCACAGTTTGTGGAAATGGCGGGTAACCTCATCCCCGTCACCAAATCTGGCGACCAGCTCCACGTCAACTTTAAATCATTTCGAGAAAATCGCCTACCGTGCACGGTGAAGATCCGTGACCTTGATCAGGAGCCGTCTGCCAGAGTGGCCTTCATGAAGGAACCGAAGGTGGCCAGAGGCGAGGCACCACAGTCCCCCATATGCAACCTCAACATCACACTGCCAGACATGTCCAAGGTAAGCTTCACTGCAGTGTTGAAGACTGGGGGGAATAACAGTTACATAATTGTGTATATGGTGTATTTAATGTGATGCATATCTTCACCTTCTGCTAAGACATGACTATTTAGCTGAACAGCTATCCTAAGTCAGTGAAGATTTTGTGTTGTGTCTGTTTCTCCAGAGAGATTCTGGGTTAAAATAGATGCCTAGATGATTCAGAGGCTGCTGTCATAGCTGGAACATTGCTGGTTAGCTGGACTGCTGAACATTGCTGGATGACTGTTACACTGTGGAGAAAAAATCTGTCGCAACTTAAAAAAGACTGTATGTACAAAGAGGATCAAATAATTACAATGTGATTAAGTTGTAGCTGGTCTTTCCGATCTTGCTTCTGCTGTGACAAGCACTGATTGACTGGTCCAGACTGAATCTTTTTGAGACTGCTTGAATGAAATATTTGTGGTCAGTAGCACTGACGTGCATGTTCCTTCCTTCCAGTCTGAATCCAGCCTAGAGGACCCAGATGCCCTTGAGATCAGGAAAAGACACTCCCTGCTGAGAGAACATGGCATAGGTGAGTTGATTCACTCTCAAGCCCACTCAATGTAATTCGATGCAGTTGAATGTTTTGCTATGGCCGACAATTACGTTGGCGAACAATGTTCATTTTATCAAAATACAACTGCTTTTTTCAAGAACAATACAGTTCAATAATTGTGTTTTCTGCATAATTTGGAATACATGTTTGTTAAAAATCTTCTGCTGTTGACCAGTTGTCTGCTGTAGCCGTTTGCCATTGTTAACCACACATCTGCATTGTTAACCAATCATTTGGTGCTGTTAACTGGTCGTCTGCTGCTGTTAACTTATTGTTTTCTGTGTTTCAGTGGTCCAGGACACTGTGAGTCGGGGTCAGATGAAGCTGACAGACATCGCAGATACCCTCCAGGGAGACTGGGTCATCTTAGCCCAGCAGCTTGACATCACCATGTCAGAGATCAACCGCATCAAGACTGACTACAACACCGTCAACGACCAAGCTCTTGCCATGTTAAACCTGTGGGTACAGAAGAACAAAGAAAAGGCAACAGGTACAATTTGGTCACTTTCACAGAATCACACACACCTTTACAAACCATCCATCGTGTTGACACATCTGAGAGCTAGAGGTCATTTTACACACATGTGGAACATTGCTATCCTTACATGTACATTAGATCTGACTGATGTACATGAGGTGACTGGGCGGTGGGGTAGCCTAGTGGTTAAAGCGTTGGCTCGTCATGCCGAAGACCCGGGTTCGAATCCCCACATGGGTACAATGTGTGAAGCCCCCGCCGTGATGTTGCTGGAATATTGCTAAAAGCAGCGTAAAACCAAACTCAGTCAGTCAGTCATGAGGTGACTACAGTATATAATGGCTGATTGTATGTCATCATTCCCAGAGTTATATATTGTTGTTATGCTGTCAAACACTAGCTCAGGACTCATTTGTTTTACAAAGCTTCATTGAAGTTTACAAACTCCTGGATAGGAGTAATTAAGGTTGAAGGTAAAAGTTTCAATGATGTTTTGATTCAGGTAATGCCTTAGAGAGTGCCTTGCGTAAGATCAATCGAGAAGACGTAGCCCAGAAGTGCATGTACGACATCGAGACTGTAGAAGATGAGATGGAGGCAGCAGCAGCCAGGGTAGCCATGGATCAGTCAGGTAGGCATACTGTCAGGGTAGCCATGGATCAGTCAGGTAGGCATACTGTCAGGGTAGCCATGGATCAGTCAGGTAGGCACCACTGTCAGGGAAGCCATGGATCAGTCGGGTAGGCACCACTGTCAAGGGTAGCCATGGATCCGTCAGGTAGGCACCACTGTCAAGGGTAGCCATGGATCAGTCAGGTAGACACACTATCAGGGTAGCCGTGGATCCGTCAGGTAGACACTGTCAGGGTAGCCATGGATGTGTCAGGTAGGCACCACTGTCAAGGTAGCCATGGATCTGTCAGGTAGGCATCACTGTCAAGGTAGCCATGGATCAGTCAGGTAGGCACCACTGTCAAAGTAGATTGGATCAGTCAGGTAGCCAGATAATACTGGGAGGGCTCAGTAAAGCCATGGATGAGTCAGATAGGAACCACTGACATCTGGTTTGCCTGCAGACAAGACCAGATAGTATTAATCAGGATCATGTCATTTTTGTTAATTTTGCAGGTTTCGACACATTTAAAGAAGAAGTAGGAATAACAAAAGACTCCATGAAGAGAGGCATGTCCCTCGACGTCCAATACGATGAACAAGACCTTATAAAGGTAACACAAATGTGCTATTCCCCTACCACAAACCATCACGCCCATAGTAATACTAGGACATCAGAATGGTCACAAAAGTCAGGGAAGACTTAATATTGAAATATTTTACTCTTTGGCAAATTTATTGATTTTGTAAACTGTTTCTGTTGACATATTTGTGGCCATTCTGTTAAATAAGATACTAGACTAACAACTAGATTAGATTCACACATAGTTAAGAGATGTCCATTACCTGGCTAATAGATAAGGAATATACCGATCAGCAAGTTATTCTATCCTATGAAAGAAACAGTCAGGAAAAAAACTAGCAGGTGGTTCTACAGGTCCTACCATGAGGCTGGATATGTTTCCTCCCACAGAATTTCTTGACATTTTTGCTGATGCATCGCTATGTTTTTAAAAAATATTTATTGTCGAAATTTTGGAAAGATACAGAGAAAAGTTAATATCCTCTTGGAATAGAAATTGGTGTTCTTTCAATCAAGTCTTTTGTGTGTGTTGTATGTTGAGCTAAGACTGAATCTAGTATAGTGAAACTTGCTGTTTTGTATGAATATCCTTCCCTGAAAGCTAGACACTAATGAGTGTAGATAGTCACCTAACACTAGAATTCAGTCAGCAAACAGTTCAAGTCCTTTGAAGTTGGAATTCCCGAATGTTCTGTTGTTTCATGAATGATACTTATCCGCTTGATCAAAATATTGGTGAAAATATATCCTGCTTGTCTTCATAAGTCTGTGACTGTTTGTCGCTCGAACATAGACATGTTACTCCAACTAACAACTGCCTTGATCACATAACAATGTGCCTGTTCACTAATACCGTCTTCCAGTCCTTAAACACATATTCAACACTGGCACCATCGTGTAGAAATAAGTCTTAGTGATAAGACTAATTTAACCCTTTTCTGTTGTGGGTTACAGTCTTATCAAAAAGATAGATTTCAGCACGGAGCCTTAGTGTGATAGCCTCACCATGTAGAATTGGCATCTATGAGTATATTACAGTGAAGTCGAATAGGTCATCGTCCTAGTGCCCAGTACCACCCAACCAACCATCTACCCATCTCATTATGTCCTATCATCTCTAAGCCACTCCCATTTTAGTTTGGCTGCTGCCACTCAACATCTTTGACAGCTTACAGTCGCACTTTGACCCTGACCCTGCCTGCCGATTGGTCGGTCTCTGGCTGATTGACATATTATTATCTCTTGCATGCCACTACCTTATTTCAGAGCCTGGACGATATTAAGGTAGGATTCTCATCCCAGCTGTAACCCCACCCCCACATGCCCCCTTCTCTGCTCAGTGCCTGCTTGCTCGCTTGCTGCTTCCCTTGTATGTCTTAAGTTTTACGCGCTGTTTGTTTGCTGCTTATATTGGACATATGGATCAGTATGACTAGCTATTGAGTAGAGACTTATTGAACTTCATTTTCTTTATTTTCATTTGATTATTTCATATTTGTTCGAGTTTATTTACTCAACTGCACAGAAATGTCCAAAATATGTTTAGACCTCAAGCCATTATTTTTGTCCTGGTTAAAACAAAAATTCATGTACGAGTCAAAGGTTACTCTTGGCTATGTTTTGTTTAAATTGAATCTTTTTAGAAGCCATTAGAATTGTTAGAATGATATAGTAACTCCAATATCACATTGAAGAAAACATGATAGTTGTTTGAACGTCAGATGCTCATGGTGTTATACCATTGCCGTGTGGAGTATACTGGTATGCACAAGGTTGCCAAGACTGCTATGCACACGGCTACCCCGATCTTGCGCCTCTCCTTCGGTATTGTTTTATTTTGTCTTTCACGTTGCTCCAGAGAGCATTCTCTCCCGAGAACCACTTCTGACATTTTCTCATCTTGCCCTCCCTCACTATACCACTTTAGATCCCGTAGAGAAAATACCTGGCACCACCCCTCTATACCACCCTACTTTGATAAGACATTTGGAATTTTTCATATTTCATCTAAAAAAAGAATAGTTTAGTTTTGTAGTATTTATGTTACATTGTGCTGTGAAACTGCATTTGTAGAATGTAGAAAAATCGTAGACAATATTCTGCCATTCTGCCTCGGTTGCAATCCTCATCTCATCACCTTCATAAATAGTTGTCAGGCAACCAGTATCATCAGCGGCGGACTTCGGCTCTGCTCTCCTCAGGAAACCCTGTCTATTTTGTCTCTTACAGTAGAAATTCATCACCATGGAAACAGAGAATATGACAGATTGTGTTAGTGTGCCTCTTACCTAAATGGATGTGTGTAAATGTGGTCAGATATATGTGTTTATTTGTATAAGCTTGGGCAAGGAAATCTGAAGGTCGCCACCAAGCGTTGGACAGAAATATATTTGTCATTTGTCTTACACCATTACATGTTAATCCATTCATGTTTTCCCAGATTGTCTATAGATATACTTATGTATTTTGAAAATATTGATTGATATATTGAGGAGGTTTATATATATTTTTATGCAAACATCAAGGATTGATTTGTTCAATTCAATCATATCCAAGTTTTGATCCTGCTCACAGTCACTCCTTGTGAGCCATTCATGAAAACAAACTGCTTCTTTCATCATATATTGCAAACAGTTACTAGAATCTTTTTGAATTTGATATCAATTGATAGCATGGTTTCAAACATATTTAAAAATCTATTTTGTTTCAATCCATGCATGCTAGCATCATTTGATACTAGTAGGTTTTCCAAAAAATATTTTTACTTAATTACCTTACAAAAACAAAATCAGGTTGGATTCCTTAGATTAATTAATGGTATTTGTTTCATATTTTCTTCTTTTCAGATTTTTTAGGAAGTGACAAATATAACTTTATGCTTGATTCTGATTCTCTAAAGAAAAAATATTTTCAAACTTGACTATTTGTTCCCTTTCAAATTTATGCCTGATATTCTCATGAATTTGTTTTCAGAAAGATGTGAACTTTAAAAAAATAAAAAATAGAAATTTTGAAACATGCATCCATCTTGAAGAGAACTGCCTGAATCAGTTTACCCATACCATGTTTTGATCAGACCTACTATTGTTTCAGATCAAGATCCCATTGATCCCAATATCTGTTGTTGACCATGTCTAAGTCATTGTATTTGTCTTACAGGAGTCAGAATCGGCAGCAGAAGAGTCCAGTCCCAGTAGTGACCGTGGGTCCTTTGTGGACAGGACTGCACCTAAAGTAGAAGCTGAAGGTGAGGATAAGTTGTACTGAAAATAGTATCAGTTATATCTTTGAACATGCTGGGATCATTAGAGGAAGCCCTTATGTTCACATATTATGTATGTCTGCTTCTGTATCTGTATCTGTATAATTAGTTATTGAGTAGAGATGATTTTGAGAATATTGTTTCATTGGGTCATTTCTATTTAGTCAACTTTTTAGAGAATTGATTTTGTGCTTTGTCATTCACAGACCTGTTCAAAACATATCTTGAGCTGATATGTTTTTGAGGCCACTTGGTGTGGGGTTTCTTTTGGTCAAAAGGTCAATTTTAAATAACATTGTGTTTCAGGGTTTTCAGAAATGCAATTATCAAGAGTTGACAATGATCAGGGTCTTCCTTCACAAAGCACTAAGGTGATCGTAAGTCACTAAGGTAACCTTAGTGCAATGTTAAAGAATGGGAGTTAAGGTTAACCTTAGTAAAGGTTGCTTCGTGAGAGGAGCCTCAGATCATTTGGATAAAGGCATTCTAAGTTTTGCATCTGGAAAGAATTTATTTATAGAATTTATTTCAGTATGAACATTCTTCTAAAATTCAATATACAGTGGCTTGAACTGCGAATCTTGCACAAAATTGAGATTTTGTTTTTGAATTAAGTTTTGTTTCACGTATCATTTTGTCAGGTGCTGAGTTGTGTGAGGCTGTTCCATTAATTATCAAATGTATTTTAATGTTATCAAAGAAAAAATTTGTTTTAGCAATTTTATTTTCCATTTTGTGACATGAAGATATATACTACTGAAAAGACGTTAAAGAAACATGATATTTTCATTGTTCTGTCATGACATAAACTATAGAAATATGAAAGACTTGGGTCTTCCTTCACTTCTTTTGAGTTGTATATTCCATTGTATATCTATACTACCCATCACTTAAAGCACTCACTATATGTTATGTATATATATATATATATGGTTATATCGAAGATGAATTTCTCCAATAACTTGGGGAAACCAACTGCAAACCTTATTATGCAGATTAACTGCACGAGGATCATGCATCAAATTGCTGAAAAGCATGTGCAAATATCGTGCATGTGAACAGCTGCGTTTTGGTGTAAAGTTTTGTTAAGAATTCTCCAATTTTCACTGAGTTTCATCATTTATTGAACTCATGAAAATAATCTTTCCAACGTTACGAATATGTTTTACAATACATCAGTTCATGTGTAAACAGTACTTTTAAACAGTATGAAATATTTTGCGAAATCTAGTTTGGGACAGTTGACAGAAGTTCGTGGCTACATTTACACTATTGAGTTAAACTATTGATGGGTAGTATATATCTATATCTATATATATATTTACAAGCACTATGGATATGTCCATGCACACTTGCTCAATTTGTCATATGTTGTGAGAATAGTTGTGTAGAAACTACTATTTTTGCTTTTGAAACTGTGATAATGTATTTTACTTAAGGATGTCCGCTGGTATATTTATTTTTGTTTTCAACTCCCAACTGTTTTGTCAAATTCATGTAGCTTCTGCAGCCATGATGCATTAACCTGATACGTGAATTCTTGGCACTTTTGAAAATGTAGGACACATATATAACTATTCATTGTATTTAGATCTGCTCAAAACCATTTCTGTTTTTGTAGTCTGTAAAAATGTTTCCAACATATGGCCAGCATATATTGATAGATTGCCTTTATTTTATAATAGTTTGAGCAGTAGGGTATAACTCAAAGACAGGGGGGCGGTGGGGTAGCCTAATGGTTAAAGCGTTGGCTCGTCACGCCGAAGACCCGGGTTCGAATCCCCACATGGGCACAATGTGTGAAGCTCATATCTGGTTTCCCCCGCCGTGATGTTGCTGGAATATTGCTAAAAGCGGTGTAAAACCAAACTCAGTCAGTCAGTCAGTCAAAGACAGAGATTCTGTTCCTGTTCTGTACCTCACTGTAGATTGTGCACCTCCTTGATCTGGCCAGATAATAATATTGTGTTGAGTAAACTAATGTGTCTTTCACCATTAAAAATAGGTCGTAGAAGGATACAATAATTCATTGTTCAGCCAGACTAGCGGACATCCTTAATTGACGTTTTAACAAGCACAAACACATAAACACATGTGTAATATTGTAGTTATATATGAGAAGGATGATTGTTGTAATACAGCAGGGATATTGACACTTTGCCCCTTATCTTGATCAGCCACTAGCTCCCGCCCGGAATCTATAGCAGAGGAACAGATTTTAGCTGATTTAGATGTGCGTAGGCCGCTAGCAAAGGCAGTGTCACCAGAGGAAACAGCAGAATCCTCTCGTAAAAAGAAAGAGGCTTATCTTAGCCTTGTTAGTGAAATGGATCGCCTTGCAGATGAGCAGGAAGCCTTGGAAAAATCAGAGAGAGAAGGTATTCATGGCGGCCATTTTGGCTCTTCTGTTTGATGCACGTGCCTGCATTTTCCATGCATGATAATATCGAGGATATTGAGCAATCTTTTCACCCATGGCATGGAACGTTCAGTCTTTCTGCCTGCCATTTGAAGTTGTCACCTTAACTGTCACATTACGTAACAAGCTGCATCATGCATGACAAGATTGACCGGGAAACTTGCATCAACATCTGTATGTTCCTTAACTCCCACTTTCTGGAATCATCCAATCATGTAGCACTTTGGCATCAATCATCCAATCATGTAACAGAATAGTATCAATCATCCAATCATGTAACAGAGTGGCATCTTTCACCAATCATCCAATCATATAACAGTTTGACATCTCACCAGTCATCCAATCATCTGACAGACCTAAGGAAGGATAACAATATATGATGAACAACTTCTTTATTGCTGTGAGAGCGACGTTTCGGTGTAGCTTCTAACACCGTTATCAAGCAAGTGATGGCTTGATAATGGTGTTAGAAGCTACACTGAAACGTCGCTTACACAGCAATAAAGAAGTTGTTCATCCATATATTGTTATCCTTCCTTACTGCCCCAACTTCTAAATGCCTCTCAAAGAAGTTATCTGACAGACCTATCACTGTGTTGATGTTGTTTCTGTAAATGGATTTGTAGTTGTCTCATGTCATGGTAGTTTTTGTGTGCTGTATTTTCAACTGAATAATGTGTGGAAACAGATTCAATGTTCCATCGTAGCATGAACATTTGAGTTAACTGGTAATAGAACATTAGTTATTATTTTTTCTTTAAATCCCTTCTTTTTGACATTTGTAAACAATGACAGTTCCAAAATACACAATTGCTCCTCGTATCTCTATTTATTGAAACCGTTATTACCTTTTGGCTCAAATGCGCTCAAATTTATCCCACGTTCCAATGTGGAATAAGGTTCAGTTATTTTGTTTATTTTACATTACTTAGACTTCAATTTTCACATCTGTTTCAAAGCATTTTGGTATTTTGTTGTTACAATTACGTTATAGCAGTCAAAGTGTTTCTTAGTTTTTGTTGCTGTTTGAAATATTTAGTGTGTGTGTTTATTAGCTGTTGTAATGTGCAGCCCTTTGTTAGTATAAATCAGTATCTTAGGTTCAGTTTGATTCATATTTGTTGAATCACATGTTTTGCTGTTATTCCCTGTTGAGGTGTGCTGTTACCTGAGTTAGATATGTCTTGTCTGGTGTACAAGGATGACATTAAGTTTAGAACAGTTCCTCAGCCTATTTATTATTCTAAACTGTCCTCAAGTCGAATGTGAAAAGAGACCTTGTTAATGCATATGTGGTGCTTCTTTGAGGTTATATTACAGTTAATCTTCTTTCAGGGTAAATTATTATAGAAAAATTTAAATCATTAAGAAAATGTCAAATATTTGTGCAAAAAACTGAGAATTCATTTTAATTGTACATATAGGGCGATATAACTCATATCGATGTAGCATGTTCATTCAGGCATTGCACACTGACAAGTTTTGAGCCCAGCTTAATGTACATGTCTCACATATAAGCAATGAATAGCAAGTCAGAAATAGCCTAAAGCTGGTGATTATCTCGTACCAAGTTCAATCAACAGCTGTGGTAATATTGAGTGACAGGCATGTCTACATTCATCAATATTGAGCCTATTCATGCAACGTGTCACGCTCTATATCTACACAAAGTGTAGCAAGCCCTAATCTTTCCCTGTTTCTTACAATGGGGCCGCTGAAGATACCCCAAGATCTTCTGTATTCCCTCCTGTTCAGAATGTTGAAAAAACTTCTGATGATTGAGCCTGTATCGTCATGGGCAGTATCAACATGTATCCTTATGGGCAGTCTACAAAGTAAGCAGGGACCATATCCCATTGATTAATCCCTCTAATCCAACTGCTTCCCTAGCCATCGTGGGCTTGTATTATGGAGCTAGATTTCTCCTTATACAGTTTAAAACTAAGTGCAAGTATTATTTTATACTCCTGGAAGTATTGTTTTCGAGAAGGTTACAAGTCAACCTATGTAAACAAGATCTCTTCACTTCCATCTGTTGCAGTGGAAGTTCATTCAGAATGGATTGTTTTGTCAGAAAACATGTTTAGCATCATTGAATAAATGATGCGATAAACTAAAAAAAATTATCATTGATATTGATTTTGAAAGAAATATTGAGCTCATAATGATGATAATGTTAATAATTTAGACCTTTTTTCAAATTTCCACTGCCATCTGTCAAAAAACAATGATGATATTTTAGACCATTTTTTAATTTCCCACCGCCATCTGTTATGAAAGCAAGACCTGTCTACTCTGGTACCAGCATGTTTGACAATTTGTGTGATTGTTGTTGTAACCCTATGTATTCCTATGTATTAACCTGCCGCACTTGTATGGTGATATTGTTTACTTTCCTGCGTGACCACAGGCATGTGATACTTGCAGCATGTTGCCACTGTATGTACACAATACGTAACCAACACTACGGTTTGAGTTCACTAATTATCATTGCCAACTAATTCACAGTTAATCATCACTTTCAGATGTTCACTGGTGCATGAGATTTGAATTTTACTCCAATTTCAATTCAGAATGAATCATTAACTTTCAGTGTCAGTTCTTTATTTGTTGATAGCTTAGACAGTACAGAGCTATGTCCCTTTGTTATGCCCCGAAATGATTAATTGTGGTTTCGCATCAACTAAATTATGTTTCTAGGTGTCAGCACCATTCACATCAGTGTTTGCCCTTAACCCTGAAAAGCTGCAGGCCCTAAGAACCTAGAACCATAAAAAGTTGTGTGTCCTGATGAGAATGTGGAGTCCGTATATTTTAATATGTAAATAATACTCTTAGTTATTGGGGATGAAAAAGCTGTCGGACATAAGTACTTGCAGAAAACAAAAGCTGTGGGTCCGAGTGGTTTTCAGTCGGCTTCGGGCCTAAGGACCGACGTTAATTTTGAAAGCTGATTCACAAGCTCATCGATTTAGTTGATAAACGTCCGAGACGTACATCACTTCAGGCCTTCCTCCCACATCTATCAGATACACGTGGTATAACAGGAATACTGTTCAAGACGGCTTTAAACCCTTCACTGACTCCCTTGATGCTTCAAATCCATAATTTTATGAACAATATGTGTCATGTTTTAATTCTGCTTGTATATACGGCCTGAATCAGTTGTCTATATGTACTGTCAGCTGTATTTACTTACCCCAGGTGTTCTATCTGAACCACGTCTACTATGTTGATAGTGATACTCTATATGTAGAGTAAGTGTTGACTGTACACTAGAGCATTCTCTGCTTTACCAAGCACCAACTGGAAGACGCTCTGGAAATTTAGAACCACTGGTTTGGTTGTTTTTTAATTTTAAAACATTTCTTCACTTTTTGCATCAATTTTATGATGCAGGTGGAATTGAAGCTATTTATATAAGTGTTAAACTGGTGTGTAGTTTCCAGTTGGTGACTGGTCAAATACATGTATTTATGATCAAAGTGAGACTGATGAATGGAAGTTTTATTATTTGAAGATAGTATTTTTGGCTCAAACATTCTTTTAAAGTAAACTTAGCAAAACACTATTTTATCTTGAAATTGAAAAAACATGTCCATTATTTTTATCACTATTTCTAAATTTTATTAGTTGTAATTTGTACTAAATTTAAGCTGTGGCTATTCAAAATTGTAATTATTTTTTATTTTGAATTATTGTGTATATTTATTTTATTTCCTTCATCATGTGTCAACATTGTTTCCAGCTGAGTAATCCGATGACTAACAGATTAACTAGATGTTGTGCTTTTATCAATGCTGCTTCTAGTAACAGACGAGAAGTACAGTGTTTCCGAGGAGACAATAGTCAAGGTAGCAAAAGGCAGCAAGGAGGACCCTATGCAACAAGTCCAGCAGGCTCAAGCACATGCGCCCTGTGTTGATATGGAACCCGAGCGCTCCCCAAGTGAAAGCTCGATGGTTTACAAAGGAGACCAAGGTAGCCCAGTCACAGTTGTCTCCCCTTCACATGCACTGGTTGCACAAACAATTGCCTCAGTCTTATTTTCAAGTTGAATGTATGTCAATTTTCTTGTTGTTTTGTGCATGTGTGATTTGTGAAATATTTATTAACTTCAGTTTATTGTTAAACTTTTGCTTTAATATTTCTTTCTTTTTCCAAAAAAATCCATTGCAAAATTTGCAACATTTGTTTGCTGTGCAGTTGGGTTTTTTTTAATTGCACATGATAGATATTCATCACACAAAACATGGAAATATTGGGAAATATGTGTGTACTTTTAGAGGTACTGTAAATATTTCCAGCAATATTTATTTCATTAATTATTTGATACTTCACACTGTCAAATAACTTTCAATGAATGTATTCTGGTGAAGGTATAACAAGCCATATATCTTACATTCAATATTTTACAGACACAAGCTCTAGATATGCACACAACACTACACTCAAACCTGATATTACTGCTCAAAAGCCTGATATCCGGGTTCCAAGTTTTCACGAGCCTGATGTTACTACTGCACGTGCCTGATATCAATACACATAACTGGAGTTCTGCATATGTACAATTATCGCTACCTACAAGCATGATTTTAGTAAACATAAGCTGCATATGTATATGCCTAACAGGGCGGTGGGGTAGTCTAGTGGTTAAAGCGTTGGCTCGTCACCCCGAAGACCCGGGTTCGATTCCCCACATGGGCACAATATGTTAAGCCCATTTCTGGTGTCCCCCGCCGTGATATTGCTGGAATATTGCTAAAAGCGGCGTAAAACTAAACTCAGTCAGTCAGTCAGTATATGCCTAACACTACACACATCTAAAGTCACTACCCACAGTACACATAATTTTCTTCCGTACACACATATCGAGGGCCACAAGCCTGATATGAATACACACAGTTCTGCATGTATCCACATATCGCCACCCACAAGCCTGGTAACCCGTGCCTTAAGTGCTCAAACAAGTCACTGCATGCTTGACTGTGTTTTATTTGTCACGAATGTTTTGTATAATTCCATTCACCTTTGTTCAGTTGTATGGTGATCAAAGCACCAGTCTGTTTATTTATTACTGTTGTATGAGCCTGTTTTGTATCAGTGTCCGTTGTATGTCATATATATATATTTTGCATCTATTCTGCATGTTTGATAATGATCTAACGTGACATTTTGCTGTCTGTCTGTCCACTTGACATGTAACTCATATTTATGAACTAAGTCAGACCAGCATCTCTTCCAGAATAATATGCCATTAAATTGGTGCAACACTCTCTGTCTGCCATTATCACACAAGGGAATGTTGAGTTGGGGGTTGGTTTTATCTGTATGTCTATTTCTGCTTCTACAGGATTCCCGGTAGATTGGATCCAAGACCTATGTGATAAATGGTGTCATTTTATTGTTTCGTGAATATTTGTAAATACCTATGTATGTTTGTATCCGTGTTACAATATACCAACCACTAGGTTCCAATACGTCACAATGATACAGTGTTGTGCAATATGTGTCAAGTGTCTCTTCGTATGTTTTGACTCCAACTCCTATATCCACTGTTGGTGTTTACCCACAAAAAGGTCTGTTTACAGAGGTGGTCATTCTAACCAACTTAATGATATTTGACAGACATAAAAAAACAGAAGAAAATTAACAATCTTTCTTGAGCCTTTTTCAAGTCAGTTTATGAATATATATTTGACATTTTGATGCATGGGTGCAGTTATGTTTGAATACTAACTGGCAATGATTTAGGTAAACTAAACATTAGCAGCCATTTTATCCCCTGCTTTGGACGATGTTCCCAGTGGCATCAAGTTGAACTTGAACCAAGGGAGACCACTCTGTATTCTCCACCCTTCCTGACTTCTTTAAGCTTTGCATGTCATAAATTGCTTCCAGACCAGGGATATGCTGAGGATGAGGCAACAGTCAAGACCCCTCCCCCCAGTCCTTCAGAAAAACAACCATCCACAGGTAGACTTCTGCCCTTAGAAGTGACTCTATGTCAGTCATCTGGCTTGCTATCTTTCTGTCGTCAGTGACCAAGTATAGCCCTAGTTCTGTATCTGTAGTCTTGCATGTGTTTAAGATATATCTATAGGAAGCTGCAGACTAATCTTACTTCATATTCACTTATGAGATATTTCGTAGAAAATGCACTTTTTCATCATTCACATTGGCGCATGTACAATTCTGATTATTTTCACACACTGAAGATTTAATGTATGAAATATCTTGATTTTGGACAGTTATAATAACAATATTTCATCTGAAAATATTAATTTTATCTGTTTATTCTCAGTAATGAATTATGACCGGGTTTATTACAACTTTTCTGTAAATTCAGTTTAAATATTACTTTTTGAAGTGAAATTCAAGGAGAAATTGATTCAAAAACATACAGAGTTCATCTGCAGGTTCTGCATGACAGATCTTTATATATCTGAACAATATATATTCGTCACAGTTCATAAGATAGACATGGGCTGTGAATGTGTCTTGGTACCAAGGGGGTCACCTCTATGCATGTGTATGTACAACAGGCTCTACTGTCCCTTATTTGTTGAAAATGGCAATGTATAAAATTTGGGGTGTTTTAGAACATCTTTTATCTGAAACTGTTCTGCAAAATCATATCTATGTACTGCTTTACTTTTAATCCACAATCCTCTGATTTTTAAATACAGTCCTGATTCACACCTATGTGAGGTTCCTTTAAACCAAAGCAGATAATATATTCCAACATGCCATATTCCTCATATTACAGGAGGGAGGTGGGGTAGCCTAATGGTTAAAGTGTCCATTCGTCATGCTGAACACCTGGGGTTTGATTCCCCACATGGGTACAATGTGTGAAGCCCATTTCTGGTGTTCCATGCCTTGATGTTGCTGGAATATTGCTAACAGCGGCATAAAACCATATTCACTCACTCATATTACAGAAGCTAACACCCATAAATTATTCCTGCTTCATATCAATCAATTCTAAAAGTCATTCAATGACTTTTGCAGTAACAATCTCAGCAAGAATGAAAGTTACAGACTATTGCTGATTATATTGTATACCGTTGTCCCAAAACTATATATCTGATGGTGGAGCAGTACAGGTCTGCAATTTTGCATTAACTGAAAAACACATTTTTATGGGGTTGAGTTCAAGGTATTTCATTCTCTATGAAAAAAATATATATAAAAAAAAAATAGTACATTCAAATAAAATAAGTGATTATGACCGAGGATGAACCTGCACCTTATATTATAAGCACCTATTTCCATAACAAATCCTTACGTTCTTTTCTCACTGTCTACATCTCTTGTGTGATATTCTACATTTCTGAATGTAATGGACAAGACAACTGTGTTCATTTCCATTCTATTTATTTTGCAACATGACCAGGTTTATTTATTGGTTATGTGGTAAGATCATTATCAATTTGTTTTTTTGCACATCATTAACAATATGTATTAGTTTGCACAACAGGCATGACAGCCATTTATCAGTGTATAGCTGTGAAACATTACCGTGTTAATACAGTTTCTGGAATGCCTACTGAAGATGGCCGAACTGACCAATCAGCTAATGTAACGTGAATGCAAAATATATTGGCATGTTGAGTTGGTATATATAGCCTTGTATCTGGCGGGGAGGTGAGGTAGCCTAGTAACTAAGGCGTTTGCTCGTCACATCGAAGATCCAGGTTCAATTCCCCACATGGGTACAATGCGAAGAAGCCGATTTCTTGTGTCCACCGCCTTGATATTGCTGGAATATTGCTAAAAGCGACGTAAAACTAAACTCACTAACTCACTCACTTGTATCTGGCTGAAGGGTTAACTGGGTTTAATTGATATATATGCCTACATTAGGCCATCTTCATGCCATTCCAGAAAGAGAATGTTTTTCCACACTGATTTATTAGTACACTTGTACAGATACTAATCATGATTTGTATTACGTTGTACTTTAATGACATGAAGTTTTTGACTAGTGTGCTATATGATGAAGCATGTCAGAAGAAAGTATCTATTTTGTTAGAAAGTCAGTACTATTTGGTGAATGAAGGTGGGATTTATCTAGATCTGCTTAGACGATTCTTTTAGTCTTATTTTACATTGAACACAATTTAACCTACCTCTGAAAAGAAGAACTTGTAAGAAAATCTCAATATCTAAAAGATGATGTGTTTTCCCAATTTGCCTGCCAAGGGCACATAGTTTGGAATCCAAAATAACTCTCTGTGAACCATTTACAGTGTCTCAAAAGATAGAATTGTACAAATGTCCTTTAGAATAGCATTTTTTCAGTCTGTTGGTCCTACATTTCAAAACTCTGAAAACCAAAATATTAAGATATCCAAAACACACTGCTTTGACTTCATAACGCATTGTGGTCAATAGCAATATGGAAAGTTTTGAAACCTCCCGATGATGTTCCACTTCTTGCTATATGTTAAGGGGCGGTGGGGTAGCCTAGTGGTTAAAGCGTTGGCTCGTCAAGCCGAAGACCCGGGTTCGAATCCCCACATGGGTACAATGTGTGAAGCCCATTTCAGGTCCCCTGCCTTGATGTTGCTGGAATATTGCTAAATGCGGCGTAAAACAAACTCAGTCAGTGCTACATGTTAATGAGTGTGAATGACAGGCAGGACATGAAGGATTAGGGGATCTTCAGCACGATGGATACAGCTTGGTGATACTAGCCGTATTTTATTTTCCCTTTTGTGTGGTTTGTCACGTTTATTTCTCAACACCCAATTCCCATTGGCAAATCTGAGTGTTTGTTTTACCCACTGCTGCGTGATCAGTTGAGGAGCGCGCCATTTCGTTGAAGATGAGGAACGTCAAGATGAGGTCACAGAAATTGAGGAGATTTTCCAGATTTCTGAAGATGGGGAAACTTGGAAAACAATTCGTAAAGTGACCACCATAACTCCACAGGGCACCTCTGAACGTACAGAGGTGATCAAAGGTAGCCAATTGTCGTCAGATCAATTTTGTCCCTACACGTAACGATTTCCGTCACCTCATTCTCAAAGTGTTTATTTTTCGCCTCCTTCAGTTGTTTTGCAAATAAGATGTTTCAGTCTTTATAATTCTAAATAGAAGTCTGGATTTATTTTGCCCACGTAAAACCATTGCTGCTATTTCACCTGCTTTAGCCTCTTGTGCATTATGTTTAACAAGAACAGCGGTACTTCTTCCTTGGGAGTTTTGTTTTCAGGATGCTTGCCTTATCAGTGGACCCAAGCATGCATGAATACAGGTTTAGTTTCCTTTCACACTGTGCAACAATGCACGTTCCTGTGGAATCAAGACATTTGACCTTCACGGACTAACACTGTATTTCCTTCAATTAATGCCCAGAACTATATTCATGCTTTTAATGCTAGGTTGTAACTCCCATGTGTAAACATAGATTGTTATTGCATCGGACAGTTCCTTCGCATGTGTCTAAAGAAGCTCATGTTAATGTTTTCTTTGATGTCATAGAGATATTCAATGATTCATTCTCATACTTTTGTTAGGGGGGGGAGGTGTTGCCTTTTACACCCAGGAAAGTATGTGTCTTTGGACAAGCAAGGCTGATATCTTCTGGCTTTACATATTCAAAACATCTTTTGAAAATGTGTAGCAATGGTACCGGTTTTAGCTGATTCCCCCTGTTTAATGATACTGGTGTATATTAAAGGAAATACAGGGTAAATACTTTTGTTTGTTTTATAGTATACTGTGACCTCACTGTATAATGACTATGTGCATGCTATTTGCATGGTTTGCTGCAGTGTGTGCTGCACTGTGTGTTCTGTGTGATATACAGTTATATTACCTGTCATATTCTGCCAGTATCACCCTACCATGTTCTGTGTGATATACAGTTATATTACCTGTCATATTCTGCCAGTATCACCCTACCATGTTCTGTGTGATATACAGTTATATTACCTGTGATATTCTGCCAGTATCACCCTACCATGTTCTGTGTGATATACAGTTATATTACCTGTCATATTCTGCCAGTATCACCCTACCATGTTCTGTGTGATATACAGTTATATTACCTGTGATATTCTGCCAGTATCACCCTACCATGTTCTGGTGCCATACACATTAATCCATTATATTTCAGGTTTACTCTTTCCAGCTTGGACCATTAACTTGCACACCACCAATCACTTGTGTCATGACTGAAGTTTCTATTTTGATATGAATTTCATTTCTTTCATTCAGCTGATTTGTAATGATGAAAATGCATTGTCATTAAGTAAATTTTTCAGATTTTGAAAGGGTGTTGTAAAATGTTAAAATTATTAGTATTCATGTAATCAGATATACATAAGGTGTCAAATTACCCAATTTTGTAAGTTGAGAGAGCAGTCAAATTTGATATATATCACCAGGGTTGCCTCCTTATTTAAACTATGGTTTTGTATATTTTGTGAAACATACTATGTTATATTTGGAATTACACTTTCTCATTGTATATTCCATATATTTTGTGAAGTTGTGTTTTATGATAATAAGGGTCAAAATCAATATCACTTTTTCTCGAGTCTTTTTAATGGAACAATATTTTTTGCTGAAAGGTTAAAGACCCAGAAGAGAAAAATAAATGCATTTGTAAATATATAAAGTAAATTAATTCTGGGTCACATTGTTAAAAATGGCACTAAATTCACACAGAAGCTTTCTTATGTTTTTCAGAAGAAAGAATAACTCCTTACTCCAATGTTGAGCAAGCTGCTGCACGATTGGCTGCCGAGGCTGAAGGAGCTGACCAATCAGAGTCTGGTGTGTAGTCGAATACTGTGTGCCATGCCAATCCATGACAGGCTTTTGAGCCACATGATTAGCGCAGAGTGTAGCATGCTACAAGAGAACAATAGCCAATTATTATGTTTTAATATATCCCTGAAGAATCTCATGAACAGAGAATTATTTAAATGCTTATATAGCAGGATTCGGTTTTGTCGCGATGGAGTCTCTCTCAGCTTGCTGTACTGTAAGCAAGTTTTATAGCAAGTAACTGTACATGCCTAAGTATCTGCTTGGCCAATACTTTCAGGATATTTCAGCTTGCCAGATTATTGCATGTTTTAAGAAACTCTGCGCGTTAACTGTTTCCTGGCCATCGTGTTCCGCTATCTGACAGTGCCAGGGATGAAGCATGGTTGGTTCAGCACTATTCCGCACCCGTCAAACATTTTCATTTCACAATTTTACACATGTGCATGTTTTGATTGATTTCAATTATGCAAGAATATTTTCATAGCTATGATTATACTATGGATATTGCGCTATTTTAAGTTTATTTTGTCAATTCTGATATTGCTGATATTTGTCATCAGGTTTATGGGTTGGTAGAAACTGAGGAAGAAATCACTTTGTACCTGAGAATCAATTTAAATTTTACAACTACTCATGGACATTACAACCACATTCTAAAATACATTTCAGAGTTTCAGAGTGTTTCTTCCTCAGTGTTGGTTGAAATGAGGTTCTTCAGACTGTATGAGACAAGAGAAAATTTTGCACTTAATTCAAAATTGTTATTCCACAATCCATTTATTCTTCCTTAGCAAAATTGTTTTCTAATCTTGTTATATGTCTATACATGATCATTTGGCCTTGGGAGACCTATGAAAAATGCCAAGCATTATTTAATTTGACATGTTTTGTCAATAGTGAAAAGTGCAATTTATGTTCTCTTAGCTCATTGGATTTTACTTCCTCTGATATTTGTAATGTTATCCTAACGAGCAAGTGCAATTTGTTGACTTTGATGAATATTTGCATATGAGGTTGTGACTTTTGATTGTTTTTATGTTAATTTCTCTATCAGCAATGCTGTTAAGAAAGCACGAACTAGATTTAAGAAAATGACTTTTGGCATTAAGCACTCATTTCTGAAACTTTAGATTAAAACGTAGATATCATATGTATCACTTTAATTGTATTTAGTGTCTATCCACTTTTGATTAATTCATTTTCCGCAAAAGAATTTCTGACATAATTTTGCTATTTATTACTCTTTAACATTTGCTTGATTTCAATATTTACATGATGTTTTAGCTTATCTCACTGCCATATCGCTTCGTCTATATTGTCATACTTTGTTGTCATTGAATAAATGTCTCCATCATGTAGTTACTTGGTTGTGGTATTCTTTGTTATTATTAGTATTTTTTATTTTCAATTTCGTTTTCGATTTGGTGAATTTTGTTCTGTAAACCATCACTCAGAGGCCAGGAGAATAAAAATACACGACTGACCGAATCACCACAAGGTGCCAACTTCAAGGGTTAAATGACTTTGTGATTGGTCTATGGATTGGTTATGAGGCAATAAGAAATATTTACAACACCTGAAAGGGAATCTTCATTGTAAACGCTGTACTAACAGAGGGTGATAATGTAATGAACACATGATATCTACAAGATATTATTCATGACTTAAAACATCATATGATAACAATACATCGTATCTTTATTCATCTCATTTTCTTCATTACAAGTCAAGTTTAGTTTTCCAGTGTACAAAATGTTCTCATTTAATATTAACATAACGGCATTTTTTAAAGTGGTAAAAACAATCATATAAACTGACTTTTGGGGAGTTTGTTTCTCAACATTGTGCTTGCTGTGCTGTGATTTGAGGTGTTACTGGATTCTGATTCTGGAAAACTACATTTGGCCGTCATCCCATCATCTCCATTACTGCATGAACTGTGTTTGTATTGCTTTCCCTCAAGCGCATGTTGCTCAACATTTTTTATAATCATGCCAAAAAAATAGGTTACACATGCCAAAGCATCCAAGCCAAGTGTCTGTGACATACCTGAACAAAACATGTTATTTGTGCAGCATTGTCCTTTTACAAAAACAAAAATATTCAGTTTGAAATATTCTGCCTTGCAACTGAAGGAGGAGCATTGTTTTATAAGAGAGTTCTACTGGACTGGAACATGACATGGACTGATGGAGTAATGCTGGTAAATTCACACTATTAACCAGTTGTTGCCCAACACTGCTCTGTTAGAGGTAACATTACCCCATGAATGATAAGACTTTCTCATTTTCCTCATCATTAGATAGTATGTTTTATTTGATACTGCTTAAACTGGCTTGTATGCTTTGTGCTTGGATCATTTCCTAACCCTTGATTCTTACTATTTCTGCATTGCAAATTCATGCTAGAAACATGCTGTTTATCCTTAGATAGCACTCTTTTGCATATATAGTTTTTCTTCTGATGCTAAAAACTTCTTTCCTCTACTGTTAAAACTGTTGAATTAGGGCACTTACTGTAGGTGAGAATACAAGGGTTGAAATGCTGCCAGCAACACACACACAACGTGTAACCACTGTTCAAGTTGTGATATTTCATTTCATTACTAGTTAGTCTTACTAATGACTTTGTTTCACATACATTGTGTAGACCACAACTGTTTTGCCTGCCTTGGCCTAGTTTGAGCCACGCTGGATGACATCTTTGCATGGCTCCAGTTGGTCCAGCTGCTTGTACTAGTACTGCCGAGTGACTACTCTTCTGCTGTGTGTCTGCATGGTTTGCCTTCTGTCTGCCTCTAGAAATACAGCCTGCCTCAATCTAAGATGTCCGTAAGTCTCTCAATGCTTGGTATACGATAACATCCTGCAAATTTCAGAACAAGCTGAGTGGCTCAAGCAAAAAGAAGCTGAGGAACAGTTACGTCGTCAACGACAGGAAGAGGAAGCTGAACTCCACAGAAAACAGGCTGAACAGTATCGACAAGAAGCAGAGGAACGAGCACAACAACAAAAGGCTGATGATGAGCGACGGACACAAGAGGCAGAAGCCGAGAAGAAAAGATTAGAAGATGAACGCTTAAGACAACAAGAAATTGAAGCAGAGAGGTTGAGACAAGCAGAGTTGGATGCTGACAGGCTCAGGGACCAAGAAGCAGAAAGACAACGCCTGAAAGAAGCTGAGCAGCTCAAACAAGAAGAAGCTGCAAGACATGAACAAAAAGATGCGGAGAAGGACAAAGAGCTTGAAGAAGAACGACAACGGAAACTAGAGAAAGAGAGAGCTGCTGATCTGGATGAAGTAGATCAGCTGCGCCGACAGAGGGAAGATGAAGATGAGCTAGAGCGTCAGGAACTTGATGAACAAGAGAGACAGAGATCAGAGGCTGATGATGATCAGTACAGGCCACAGATGGATCGTGCAGATGATCGAGTCCGATTTCCAGACTCAGAAACAAAGATGGAGGCTGCTCATACTGACAGAGTTGCTAGCCTGCCTCCAGGTGGCCCAATGTCGCTGGAACCTGAGCCCTATCCAGAAGCAGCAGAACAGATCATCAGTCCAACATCTGATGGCTCATACCATGATGGCCCATCCTCTGTCCCTGAGCCTCAAATGCCAGCAGGATTTGTTGCAGAGGACAGAGTTACTGACAAAGAATCACCTATGTATGACTATGACCCTAGGTTTGATGAATTTGTTGACCGTAGAGAAGAATACATAGTTGAGGAAACTGCTACTGAGAAGAAAGCAACCAGTCCTACCTACTCAATTCCCTACAGTATCACGGGACAACCTGATGTCACAGAACAGGAGCCTGGAATCACTGCCACAGGACGACAGCCTGAGGTTGTTACCTCTGGAAAAGAGCCACTGGTCTCGGCAACAGAACAACAGCCAGAGGTCATCCCCATTGGAAAACAGTCTGTGGTTGTTACCACAGGAAAAGAGCCAGAGGTCATTACCTCAGGACAACAGCCCAGTGTCTTTGCCATTAAACAACAGTCAGAGGTCTTTGCCACAGGTCCTCAGTCTGAGGTCATTACCCCAGAACAACTGGGGCTGTTTGCCACAGGAGAACCTGAGGTCACTGTTGAAGGACAAGAACCTGAGGTCACTGTTGAAGGACAAGAACCTGAGGTCACTGTCACAACAAAACAACCTGAGGTCTCTTTTGCTGGAACACAGCCCGTATTCCCTGCAACAGAGGATCATGACATTAAGATCAAAGAACAACAGCCTGAGGTTGCTGTAGCAGGAACACAACCTGAGGTCTCTTTTGCTGGAACACAGCCCGTATTCCCTGCAACAGAGGATCATGACATTAAGATCAAAGAACAACAGCCTGAGGTTGCTGTAGCAGGAACACAACCTGAGCAGCTCTCAAGAAAACCTGATGTCCTTACTGGTATGACTGGAGTCCAACTGATTACGACAACCCAACAGTACTATGATGAAGAGGCATCAGGAGAATCTACTCAAGGTACTTAAACACTGACCAGAGTCAGCACTGCCAGGCACAATCAGGGATACTTACATAGAAAACTATACAAGGCTTCATGAGGAATCGAGCACTCTACTCTCAAAAGTTGACCGTGATGATATCGGAAGGACCCAACCACCATTTGGACACATGTATCATAACCCACACATTTTCAGTAATCAAAATATGATACCCAATATATCATTGTGTCGTCACATTCAGCTTTTGGAAGAAGTGTGGCTCATGCTAGGGTTACACAGGTTTATTTTATTAGTTCATGGCAGAAAGAAGGTTTTGAGTGATATCTAACCCCTAACATGACATGTTTGTGTAAGCATATTTTTATGGCCACACATCATACTCCCTACGACTTGAGGACATATCTTGAGTTCCTCATTTCTGTAGCATGGGCCAAGCTGTTTGCATGCCGGTCATGTTTTGTTTATGCAGTGTCATTATATTTCCGTATGATCTACTTTGCCTTTGTTATATTACTCATCAGCATCATCGTCATATCATTGAAAACATGACACACATTTGTAGCAACACAAAAACACAATAATGTTATGCATGGAATCATTTTAGGTTTTTGTTTTGTTTTTTGTATCTGCAGATTTCAGTACAAAAATGTTTGTGGTACATTGACGATTATTTTTTTTATTCAACTATTTTTTCATTGTCTTTGTTGGTTAGTATGTTACATACATGCACAGTTTTAAGGGAAAATTTATTTCAGTCAGTTTGACAATAACAAATTACAGCTTGTTTTGCAAGTACATGTTATTATTGAACATCTATAACAAAAGCTTGATGGCAGGGCAATTCATGTATTTGAGGGATACAATATCCAAAGGAAAAGTTAGTGTTGCCATGGAGACTACATATTTCACCACACTATATGTCAACCAAGAAATGTTAACAAAGATGAAAACAAGCCAACACCCAAATGGAGATTTGTGAAGAATAGGAAAAGTCGTTTCATCACCGTTCAGGTAATTAAGTATTTTGAATTCCACCAAACCCTTACCAAGTGCTTCAAGCCTTTAACCATCCAAGCCTAAGACCAAACAGCACCTTGTACTACCCACAAATCCCTCACCTATGGGATAACATTGGGCTTTAACAAACCATACAACCTACCCTGCTGAACTGATATGCCATTTACTGTATAACTATAACATATCACTTGACATTGTCATCATAGAGTCTGATCATTTAGCATCAGATAAAAAAAACAGGCGTTTCCATGTTAATCACTGCGCACCAGGGAGATTTTGTCTTTGGTAAATATCTTTGATTTTTGTTTTATTTTCCTTTTTTACAGAGATCAGTACTAAAAAGTATTGATCTGAACTCTAGATTTCTAGTTTTGCTGTAGCTTGAGCTTGTTAACGTTGTAAGTTTGATAAATGTATTCTTGTTGATAATTAGTGATGTTTTGACTAGCAAGCACAACTGTTGTTGAAATGCTTCAGAATAGGCTTTTGCTTGAGAAGATGGTAAATTATTAAATTAAACACTGCCTCACAATAAGATTTGCTAGAACAAAGTTCACCAAAGTTTGCATGCTTTATGTTTTTACTAACACCGTAGAGTTTGACATCTACTCCATGAGTAGAAGCTGTCTGCTGTTGTCACCCTGCTGTGGAGATGGTTTCCATGACAATCTTATTCTTGTTTACCAATCTGAGTGGTTACGTTCTATACATTACCACTTACACAACAAGTTTTCAAACTTTGAAATATATTGAAGCGGTTTTTACTCATGACAACAGCAAACCAGTGCTTTAACTAACTATACTTATATACTAAATCATTTAGGAATAGATTTGGTTTGACAAACTAACCACGCTCATACCTTGACATGTATAATAGCCTTGTATATGCTTTGCTTTGGTGGTGGCTCCCCCAAGATCCAGCAGTACCTCCCAATTCTCCCTCCTTCCCGATCTGTCCTTGGCGTCCCCATAATCCAGGTCCCTGGTTTCCTCGGGTTTCCTTGGGTTTCTTACAGCAGGGTTTGCAATAGCTGCTAACAGTGTGGTTTGTGCTGTAGCGTTGGAACGCCGCCCTGTAACGTTTTGAACCTAGTATAGACACTAGGAGTCGTCACTGTGTGTTGGTCAGCACGTGTGCAGTCGGCAGCTGTCATTGCTAGCGGTTTAGTCTAGTTACTTGTTCTCACAATGCCCCACTTTCTCTGATTTCCAGTTTTCGATCAAGTTTTCGATCCTAGTCTGTCAACACAAGAGACTATGTATGAGGAGGTTCTTCCTGATGGAACTAAGGTTAAGCATCGCACGATCCATCACCAAGGTAAGAGTGTTGGAGCTCGTGTGATGGAACTTGTCGAGTCTGAGGGACCTGCTCACGACAGAGAAGAGATCCAGGAGTTTGAGGAGGTCTTGCCAGACGGCACAGTCCATCATACCCACATGGTCCGAAAGCAATCCTTAAAGCATGTTACTAGGACCCTGTCCACAGACAGCGAGGAAAAGTCTCTCTATGATCGGGAAGAGGTTATTCCTGGTACAAAAAGAGAAAATATGCTCGAGACTTTCGTAGCTCCTCCCAAATGTGTGACAGAGGAGGAGGAAGTCGAGCATGTGCTGCCTGATGGGAAAACAGTTAAGAGGCATGTAATATTGAACAGAATGGTGCATCACATCAAGACCCATCAGGAGTCTTTTGATGAGGACACAGGCACGGTTGAGCAGGAAGACTATGAGATTGAAGAGGTTATTCCTGGGACTGTATCCGCTTTTGTTGCTGGACAAGACTCAGAGACAGACTCAGAAGATGAGCTTTCTGGCCAGATATTAGCTGACATGGAAGAATATCAGGAGATCCTGGATGATGGGACTGTCGTTACAAAGAAACTCCTCATTAGTGAAGAAAAACGGACTGTCAGATCTAGGTCTGGCTCTATTGATGAATCTGAGGAGGCTCGCAGAGTGGAAGAAGTTGCCGTGACGCCAAGTCCCCATCCCGGTTCCTTTGTGCAAGGAGAATCTGGTCCATATGATAGCACTGGTCATGTACCAGTCCAGACCAGAGAAAGAGTTGCACATTTTGAGGAGGTTCGTCATGGTGGTATTGTGGAGGACACCCTGGTACTGAGGGAGGACACTGAGAGGAAGGGCATCCTCCAGCAGAGGACTGTCCTGGATGATACTCCAGACAGCTATGGGACAGCAGGTAATACAGAAGTGCTGTGGAGCTCAGGGGGATAGGTACAGGGCAGTTGGTAGCATTTGTGTTTGCAGTGGCCAAATTGAGCAGTCGTTGTCTTTACTTAGTAGAGATTCAGCTTGTGAATGGCAATTGCTTAGTTTTCACTAGCTTCGGTTTGAATATTATCAATGAGTTATGAGTAGATTGGTTGTGAAGGAGATAGTATATGTTGATGGCTTACTTGGCTTTATGGTCTAATGTTCCTCAAGAACGCTTATGTCGTTGTGATGAAACATATTCTGCTTATAATAGGGGCTGTAGGCTGGCGGTTGCTAGGGACATGTATCATGATATATCACCGCTTGGTGGTGCTTCACCAATTATATACTGGCTTCGGACCAAGTAACCCAGAATTGTATGGCTATTCAGTAGGATGTTTTATATTGTTCTGGTTAAGGAGATATTAATCCAGTATACAGTGAACTCTATAGTGTCAAGCTATAGCACTGCATGTTGAATGTTGTAAACTATTGTGAGGTTTGTGGGACAACTACTTATCATC